TTCTAAATCTATAGGACACTATAAGACATCCAAATTATTCATTTGATCTGACTGGATGATCGGACAAACTTTAGTAGATGAAAATCCTAAATTTCTAGTTTACATAATGAAGCTCTTCGCTCATATACAGGGCTACTCATAAAGGATGAGACTTCAGAGACGAATGTTCGGGATTTGTTTAGCCCGTTTTCTTGCATTCCGAATTTGTTTAGTCCGTTTTCTTGCATTCCGGATTCCTTGTCGGCCATAACTGGCCTATATCTGTTTTAAATCATTAAATAAACCATCAAAATAATATATTAGGTGTAGAAACCAAAAATCAAGCTTCAAATCGTCATATTTTTAGAGTTTTTGGGTCGTCTTAATAGTATCATGCTTTGTTTGTAACCCTGTATATATGTTAGCCATAGCTGGCCAAACGGCTAGACCAAATTTTAGGGAACCTCAAATTTGTTTCGAAATTTCACGGGCAACACTGGGCATTTTAGATAAAATTATGATTGAATACCAACTTACCAAGCGTGGGTAAATGGCAGGAGATAATATGAGTAATATTAAAAACCTGGGCAACGTCGCGTTCTCCAGCTAGTAAAAAATAATATTTAACCAACTGTTTTTGAGCTAGACCTAAATTCTCTGGCTACTTGGCGAACACCAAGCAGAGCTGGATCAAGATCAGCGCATAATCAGAATTCACAAGATTAGCGCATGCGCAGCACTTCGTTAAGATGAGACCTCTTCGAGCAATGTTAAAAAATAAATGTTTTATTATTCATAAAAGAAGTCGACAAAATAAATAGTTAACTCATTTATCCATATGATTTGTTTAACTCAATGAGCACCGGCAGCTGAAGTCAGAATTTTTATATGTTGTGTATCTTGAGATCAAGCTTTAATCTCCAACTTATGAATCTTGAGATCAAGCTTTAATCTCCAACTTCTGAATCTTGAGATCAAGCTTTAATCTCCAACTTCTGAATCTTGAGATCAAGCTTTAATCTCCAACTTGTGAAGAGCTAAGATTAATTTAATTTCCTTTTCAATATCGGATAGTGGTCATACCATGCAGGGATAACTTATTTATCCTCAAATTTAAACATACAACAGATATTGAGAAGNTTTTTTAATAACTTAAATACGGCTTATATTTACTTCACTTTTTTAAAATAATAGTTTTAAACAAGTTTTTTGATACATAGGGAAGGGGGGAGGACGGTCAAACGGCGGGTTGGTGTTTCAAAAAAAATCTGTAATTGTTAATAACATTTTTATTGATTAAGGTACAGGGCTAAAACTTATATATTTGAAAAGCTCTTGAAAGATGGATATAATAACATGAATCAAATGTTAATAATTGGAAAAAGTAAAAATAACAATATTTGAACAAATTTTCTACATACTTTTTGAACTTTTTCTAAATCCTTCTTAACACCTTAACTATTAAAGTTAGAGGTCTAATCTTTTTTTAATAATTTTTAATTAATTTTTTGTAAAGTTGAACTATTGACATGTATCACACTCCCCTATCTCAACATTAAAAACAAAAATAGCCCAAACATGATAGGGTTAAAGATTAAAGACTCTTCACTTGTTAAATATGGAAGATTTAATAAAAGTGATTAAAAGTACGCAAACTAACTGATGATCCCTCTATTTTTAACTCTAATCTCTGGAAAACGAATAGATATGGTTTCTTATTTTAGAGAATTATGGAAAATAAATTCACAAAACTTGGTTCCCAGAAATAACGTTTTTGTCCATAGATTTATTTTATTTTAATGGACCTTTAACAAAACCAAAGAAATTCTCAATTTCAAACATTTTTTAGAAAACTGATTCATAAGAAAATTCCGAGTAGCTCGGTCAAAATTTTCTTGAATTTGTCCATTGAATTGTAAAAACTGGATCCCGAGGAGGGAGTGGATGAGAGTATATAAGAGGGAGTAGATGAGCCCATAAGGAGGGAGTAAATAGGTGTAAGTATATAGGAGGGAGTAGATGAGAGTATATAGGAGGGAGTGGATGAGAGTATATAAGTAGATGAGAGAATAAAAGAGGGAGTAGATTGGAATATATAGGAGGGATAGATGAGAGTATATAAAAGGGAGTAGATTGAAGTATATAGGAGGGAGTAGATGAGAGTTTATAGAAGGGAGTAGATGAGAGAATAAAAGAGGGATTAGATTGAAATATATAGGAGGGATAGATGAGAGTATATAAAAGGGAGTAGATTGGAGTATATAGGAGGGAGTAGATTAGAATATATAGGAGGGAGTAGATGAGAGAATAAAAGAGGGAGTAGATTAGAGTATATAGGAGGGATAGATGAGGGTATATAGAAAGGAGTAGATTGGAGTATATAGGAGGGAGTAGATGGGAGTATATTGAAGGGAGTAGATGAGAGTAGAGAAGAGAAGAGAAGAGAAGAGGAGAAAGGAAAAAATGAGAGCAGAGAAGGGGAGAGAAGGGGAAAGAAGAGAAGTAAACATTTATCCTCTGTGCATAAATATTTCAAAAAACATAGCTTTGAATGCAATCTAGTGGAAATTGTGATGAACTATGTTTTCAATTTTGGAAAGTTTTAAAATTGAAAAACTGCCTTTATTTTCAATTTAAAGAATTCTTTTAAAACTACTTGAATACTTTATTTAAGTAAGAATTTATGCAAAACAGTTAAAACTTAGTTGAAACTTTAGAAGAAAACTGTACAGGGTGCATAGCCAGGTTATTCAGTTTTTTCCCTGAAGTTTAGGGGCCCTAAAATCTTGTTAAGGGGCGGGGTCTGAAACTGTAGGTCATCGAAACAACTTCTTTAGAGGCCCTGAACCCCAGTTTAGGGGCAATGAAACCAGATTTATGGGGCCTGAATCCTGATTAAGGGGGCGGAGCTTGAAACCTAGTTTAGGGCACCGCAACCTGATCTCAGGACTTTGAACCTTGAATTAGGAGCCCTAAAAATTACTTTATGGCCTTGAAATCAATTTTAGAGCCCCGAAACCCCCTGTAAGATCCTTTGAACCCTGGTTTAGAAGTCCTTAAACCTGGTTAAAAGACCTTGAAACCTGGTTTAGAAGTCCTAAAGCCTGGTTAAAAGGCCCTGAAACCTGGAAATATATTTATAAAATAAAAAGCTTAGTAATAGGATTCCCTTCTTCAACTTGAAAAGAAAAAGTCTGATTGTTTCTTACATTATTTTGCTATAAGAGAGGAAATGGAAACTGTTATCTAAATCAGTTTATATCTTCCCTGCCAAGTTTACATGTATTCAACCTTTCCACTTGATATCAAATCTTTCTTCATCCCAACCATCCTCATTATCTCTTCTCTCCAAACTACATTTTCTTCATCACCTTTCCCAACCATTCTCATCATCTCTTCTCTCTAAACTACATTTTCTTCATCATCTTCCCCAACCATTACCTAGTATACAGTAATAAACTTACAGACACAAAGTACAAGAGAGCGTTCAGTCCAGGGTTTACCTAGTATACAGTAATAAAAAACGTACACACACAAAGTACAGGAGAGAGTTTAGTCCAGTGTTTACCTAGTATACAGTAAAAAACTTACAGACACAAAGTACAGGAGAGCGTTCAGTCCAGTGTTTATCTAGTATACAGTAATAAACGTACAGACACAAAGTACAGGAGAGCGTTTAGTCCAGTGTTTACTTAGTATACAGTAATAATCTTACAGACGCGATATCAAAAAAAGGATAAGACCTAAAATTTGGATTTTTTGTTGTCAACAGTTACTGTAAAGAACAGGGTTACCCACAAAGAATGAGACTTCAAAGACAACTCTATTCTACGGAAATTTTACATTTTTTGCTTGCATGAATGCGAAATTCAACCTGCATCTTTTTTTAAAAATTTATCGGCATGTTTATAGAATTGCAGGTCGTCATTAGAGTCTTACACTTTTTAAGTATACCCTGTATTTAAAAAAAATGTTGTACGTCTTATGAGCATTCCGAAATCATGTTCAAAAATGAAATCCAGACATTTTTTCTCCTTTTTTTTTTCATTTTAAGGGACAACAATGGAAAACCTTTATCTTGGAAATCCTACGGCTAGATTTAGTTAATTTTCTGGAATAGTGTTTGACTTCATGAAAGATATTTACCAAACCTAACTTTTATATGGCAAATGAAACCTAACATATATGGCAAATAAAATCTTATTATATATGGCAAATGAAACCTAACTTCTATATGGCAAATGAAACCTTACTTATATATGGCAAATGAAACCTAACTTATATATGGCAAATAAAACCTTGCTTATATGGCAAATGAAATCTTACTTATATAAAGCAAATGAAACCTAACTTATATATGGCAAATGAAACCTTACTTATATATGGCAAATGAAACCTTACTTATATATGGCAAATGAAACCTAACATATATGGCAAATGAAGCCTTACTTATATGGCAAATGAAACCTTACTTATATATGGCAAATGAAACCTTACTTATATAAAGCAAATGAAACCTAACTTATATAAAGCAAATGAAACCTAACATATATGGCAAATGAAGCCTTACTTATATATGGCAAATGAAACCTAACATATATGGCAAATGAAGCCTTACTTATATATGGCAAATGAAACCTTACTTATATATGGCAAATGAAACCTAACTTATATATAGCAAATGAAACCTTACTTATATAAAGCAAATGAAACCTAACTTATATATAGCAAATGAAACCTTACTTATATAAAGCAAATGAAACCTAACTTATATATGGCAAATGAAACCTTACTTATATGTGGCAAATGAATATTAAAACATATTCAAGAAAAGACGGTTTTCTCTCAAGCCTATCTGAGCGGACGAAAATTGGTTTTATGACGATTAAGTTTGATGGAAGCGAAATTTTTTTGGCCAAATTTAAGGAGATTTTGTTCGAGTCCAAAAATATGAAATGGCCCGTTTTTTGGGCCTTTACTTGCTCACTGTTTTATAATTTTTAAATTTCAGGCTAATGTTCCAAAATTATAGATAAGGTTACGTAGACTTGATAATTCTTTGTTACTGTGGAATCTCTTATATATAGTCTTATAGGTAACTTCATGACTGTCAGCTAAACAAGAAATATTGATGGCTACATAATTTTAAAATAAATGTGAATAAACAACTTATTAAAAACCTTTTACGTTAAACAATTTTGAATTCTTTATTGGAATTGAAATAGTAATAAAATTTTATAAATCTCAGGCCACCTGTAATTTGTAAAGCAAGTAAAAAAGGCAGACCACAATTTGAAAATGCAAAATACGGATATTTAATGATTATTAATTTAAACCCCATAATTGTAAAATTAGGTCGATGATTAAATTCAGTAACTACAGGGTTACTCATAAAGGATGAGACTTCAGAGACGACAGTACGGAATTTACGGAATGTTTCGTTTTATTCATGATTCTTGCAACTGTAAACTTCTTCCTTTTTTGCCAAATCATTAACCAAGCTTTAAAAAGACTTTATTTCAAGACACAATTTAACATCATCATATTTAAAAAACTTTAGGTCGTCGTTACACTCTCACCCTTTGTTGTTTATTCTATATTTCAAAAATCCTTTGATTTTAAGTTTTATTTCAAATGTCATATCATGAAAGAATTTCTTTGACGTCTTTAAGCACCACTTTCCCTGACGAATCTTAAAATGTTTATGCTGGGTGGGAATGATTATGGTAATGGAAGGGAAAGAAGGTAAACTACCAACTAATTATTTAGTTGAATGTTTGCTGGGTGGGAATGATTATGGTAATGGAAGGGAAAGAAGGTAGACTACCAACTAATGCTCGTCACCAATGGAAGAAAATATCAGCAGTAAGGTAAATTCAGGGGGAAAACTTTCGAACTTTTTCATTCGTATTTTTTTAACCTAAATATTGGTCTAGCGGTAAATATTATCTAGCATAATTTATAGTTTTAAATTGATCAGGTTGCAAAGATATAAAGTTTATAAAAATAACTTTTGCGGAGTTCTAAAGAGTTCTAAAAACAACAAACCTTAAAATCTCACTCTGCCGTTAAATCTGTAATTTTGCGGAGAGCAAAAAAAATATAAAATATTATTTTTTTACTAATACAGTAGTAACCAGAAAACACTCAAGTTATAAGCTTAAAAAGTCCAATAAGCATGAAAACACAGCAATTGTGCAGTGTAAACATACCCATTTAACTAAATTAGCCCATTAGTGACGAGAATGTCAATTTTGACCGGGTGAGGGTTTTTTTTAATTGCCTTTATTCTTAAACTAAATGTCGTCCTGTCTTTTCCTGCGCTTTCCTTAGGATTCCCTGTTTTCTAAACATATTTTATATTTGACGTTACTATAAAATTGTTTTGTTTTTTTTAATTTTCGATTTAAAAAAACCCCAAAAAAAACAAGATTTTGAATTTGGAAGAAACCCCAAAGAACACCCTGTAATTTAATGTTGAATCTATAAAATTGTCAAATTTTTGCTAGAAAAAATTTAAAGACAGTTTGGAAACTTCTTTTAAGGATCTAAATAACTATAACATGAAAATTAAAGTTTTGAAGATAATTAGATAATTATGAATTACCAAAGGTTTTTAGATTTTCATGTTTTACAGGTCACCCTGTACAAAAAATTTTTTTAAATTTAATTGAATAATGGTTTTACATGAGTACAATCAAGTTTTGTTATGACAAGATCCTTCTAAAACAACTTCTGTAATAGTTAATGGTCTTGCCACTAATGGGTTAGTGTTTTAAAAAGTGTCATGTAATACTAATTGCTTTTTAACAAGAGCAAACACATTTATTGGCATATTGTCGTCTTCTTATTCCATTGTGTTTTGGTTATGATTGCATTTACAAATTCCAAAATGTAAAATGTCAGATAGTTCTGGTTCCGCAGAATTGTCTTCTTCTATATAATAAAACAAGCTGACATTCGTATATATAATATATATATATATATATGTTGCCTATAGCTGGCCAAACGACTAGACCGATTGGGCTGAATTTTTTTGGCCGGGGGTATTTTTCACATTTTTTTCCACGGGCAACGCCGGGCCCTTCAGCTAGGCTCAAATAAAAAGAGAAAACCGCAAAAATAGGATTAACTCTTTCCCAAGAAAACTTTAATCAAAAGAAAGTATGATGAAAAAATCTAACCTTTTCTAATAACTTTTCTTATATCCATTCATGCTTATATGTAGGATTATTTAAAGATTAAAAACAGATAATCTTCTTCATTCTTTTAATTTTATTCAATTTTATGCATACGATGTTGCCCGTGAAATATTTAAATCTACATTTAAAAACAATTTCGAATTTACAAAATGTCAACCAAGTCGGTTCAGCCAGCTTTAGCTTACATATATATATATATATGAGCAAATTATTATGATCAAGCAATGAGATGAAATATTTATAAGTTACCGAAAATTTAATTATTACTATTTAAGTAGACAAGCAAGAAGGTTAAAAAGTCAAGTCAATTATAAAAGTTAATCTTTACTAATGAGTGTTTACTGGAAACCCCGTGTTGAAACTACAAGTTGAATTATTAGAGCACACCACTCTAAAAGTTGCAAGATCTGTGCCGATACAACATGTACTGAATATGCATTCATTCGTACTGTCCAGTCGGAGCCCGCTAAAACATTTGGGAAAATACGGTTCGGGTCTAAGCTGTCGTTGGGCCTTTACGGCTTGAGCTTTCGGATTCAAGCTGCATCTTATTTTCCACAGAGTTGAGTTCAAAAAACCGGTTTAGTATTCTATTTGGCGGATTTTGATGGTTATAGGAATTGACACATTCCGAGTTTTTATGAGAACAAGACTAAATATTGAGCCTTATTCTCCACTAAAACCAACCAAGGTCGGTTTTATTTTCATTGCGCCTCCTTAAGTCGAGCCGAAGATCTTGCAGCTGTCAATCACGTGACACAAGCTGTAGTCAGAGTTGGGTCGAAGATTGAGTCTTAAAGTCGGGTTTAAGAAATTACGGCCCTCGAGCCGAAGTTTTTAAATCGCGGGCTCCGGACAGCCCAGCGCAATAAAGTCGACCCATCATGTTTAAAAAAAAATTGTACCTGACAGGTTTAGAGTGAGTGTGCCGATATGTTTCAAAAAAATTCAGAAGATATAGTCTTTAAATACAAAATTTCGTAACCTTGCCAATTACGATTGAAAAGTCTAAACACGAAGGGATAGCTTAACCCCCCCCTCCCCCCTCCCCTCCTACCATCTCAAGGCAAGGCCTAGGAACAACTTTTATGTATTATTTTTCAGGAAGTTTCTAAGTATTGCTTCAGCAAATCAGAAGAAAACCCCTGCCGAACTTGTACTTAATAACAAGTATAAAATAGGAAACAAAATTGCTAATGGAGCATTTGGTCAACTCAGGTAACCGTAAACCTGCTGGAAGTGTCTCAATAACAAAATAGAATTTAACCCTATAACACGGGCAGCTGTAGTACATTTGAAATTCAGAGTCGGGTCAACCTCTGGTCCCAGTTTCCGAGTCGGGTCAACCTCTGGTCCCAGTTTGTACTGTACCTAGCTCTATGGACAGGACTGGCCGGTGCAACAAGGTTGACGCGGTCAGACTTTATGCTTCATATAGGTTGACTTTAATTTTACCAAAGGGGCAGATTTGCGTGATAAAGACTGGGGGCCGGGTCTGAATCTATGTATAACCGGGTGGGGGGCGTTTGACGCCCCCCCCCCCTAGAAAAGGCCTTAGAGAATAAAGGGTTGAAATGCATCTACAGCCCAATTTTACAAGGCAAGCTCAACAAAAAACAAATTAGACCGATAATTTTGATAGTTTAGGTGCTAGGGAAAAAAATGAAGAAAAATTTTTTTGTTTGTTTTAAACAAATATTAAAATGTGACACATGTTTCTACATGCATTATTCAAGGGCTTTTAAAAAATATAGTTTTTAGATATGTTGCTTTAGTCACAAAAAAGATATGGGCTATTTTAGATTTTTTTTTTACTGACCGGACTTTTTTTCCGCCCTTATACCTTACCCCGACCCGGTATAAATTTTTAAAAACTAAATTTTTTTTACAAAAAATCCTTTTAATTACTTTTCATTAAAAGTCACAAAATTTCACGATGATAGTGTCCAAATTGTGAGTGCTAGGACAAAAAAAACTACAGGGGGGGGCCTAACGCCCACCCCCCATCCTATTTAGGGTTAATGACGACAAAACCATCGTTTCCAAATTGTTAACATGATTTTATGCCAGATGTTGTGCGATAAAAGTACAATTCTAAAGCTTTCTAACATGTAGTTTAAACATGTAAAGAATTCGTAATTTTTTGAAGATTTTGCTTAGTTTGAATGAAATTAGACTAGAACAAATTTTTGATAATTTAATCTATTTTAAACAAAGAAAACAGGCAGACAACTTTTAAAAATTTCCCCAAAAATGGTGAATGTGATGTTGTTTGTTATGAATATGTTTATGGTATTTTGTTCTCGATCTAGCAAACATTTCTCTCTGCATGACAATTGGCAAATTATGCATTTTTTGAGATATTTAATGAAATCTATTCAGAATGTTAAAAAAATAAAAACTTAAAAAGTTTGATGATGTAAATCTTTACATTTAAAAAAAATATTTTTGTAAAAATAATTGAAAATGCTCTTTAGATATAGGATTCTAAAAATAAAAATTAATTGATTTCTTATTTTTTTTCTGTTTAGGTTGGTTAAAAATACTCAGACTGGAGAAGATCTAGCTATCAAACTGGAGCCTATGAACGCTAAGGAAAGATACTCTTAAATTGTACACTTTATTTTATTTTTATTTTTAAGGCTTTAAACTTTTTGATTTTTAATAAAAGAATTTTAAACATGAGGGTCTAAAATCTGGTCGTTGCATTAAATTAACCCATGAACTTTTTAACATTTGAGCTTCAGATCTAAAATTTACACATCTGAGATATAAAAAAAAAATGGCTGTATTGGATTTGTATGAAAGGGTGTTTGTGTCACATGTGTGAAAATTTGATAATTTAACAATCAGGATAAAGAGGATGTTTACAAAAAATAAAAACGGGGACAGGTTGATACAAGTTATCATTTGTATATTCTGTTTTTTTACTGAAGAAAAAATGTATACGAAGTCAAAACCGCAAAAAAAAATGTTTTGGTCTTATCAACATCTTTTCAATAATAGGAGTTATGGACGAAAACTTAACATTAATTTAAGTAATGTGTTCCATTCAAATATTAATAATAATTAATAATTAATATTTGAACTGCTTTTATATCTTGATTCCATAGATTCCTCAACTCTTCCTTGAATATGAATTCTACAGAAGACTAGGTAAACTTTAATAATTAAAGGGACTGTTAGGTAAACTCAATTAATTAAAGGAACTGTTAGGTAAACTTTATTAATTAAAGGAACTGTTAGGTAAACTCTATCAATTAAAGGGACCGTTACGTAAACTTATTTAATTAAAGGTACTGTTAGGTAAACTTTATTAATTAAAGGAACTAATTGATAGGACTGTAAAGGTAAACTCTATTAATTAAAGAGACTGTTTGGTGAACTATATTAATTAAAGGGACTGTTAGGTAAACTTTATCAATTAAAGGGAGTGTTAGGTAAACTCTATTAATTAAAGGGACTGTATAGGTAAACCTTATCAGTTAAAGGGACTGTTAGGTAAACTTTATATATTAAAGGGAATGTTAGGTAAACGTTATTAATTAATAGGACTGTAAAGGTTAACTTTATTAATTAAAGGGATTGTTAGGTAAACTTTATTATTTAAAGGAACTGTAAAGGTAAACTCCATTAATTAAAGGGACTGTTAGGTAAACTTTATTAATTAAAGGAACTGTTAGGTAAACTTTATTAATTAAAGGAACTGTTAGGTAAACTTTATCAATTAAAGGGACTGTTAGGTAAATTTTATTAATTAAAGGAACTGTTAGGTAAACTTTATTAATTAAAGGTACTGTTGGTAAACTTTATCCAGTAAAGGAATTGTTCACCAAATGTCAAATGGTCCTAGTCTGTCTGATTCACAATAGCGTTATAAATATTTTCTGGAAATATCCTGGAGGAAAATATCCTGGCGGAAAATATCCCGGTGGAAAATATCCTGGTGGAAAATATCCTGTTGGAAGACATCCTGGCGGAAAATATCCTAACGGAAAATATCCTGGCGGAAAATATCCTGGCGGAAAATATTCTGGTGGAAAATATCCTGGCGGAAAATAACCTAACAGAAAATATCCTAACGGAAAATATCCTGGCGGAAAATATCCTAACAAAAAATAACCTGGTGGAAAATATCCTGGCGGAAAATATCCTAACGGAAAATATCATGGTGGAAAATATCCTAACAAAAAATATCCTGGTGGAAAATATCCTGGCGGAAAATATCCTAACGGAAAATATCATGGCGGAAAATATCCTGGAGGAAAATATCCTGGCGGAAAATATCCTGGCGGAAAATATCCTGGAGGAAAATATCCTGGCGGAAAATATCCTAACGGAAAATATCCTGGTGGCAAATATCCTGGTGGAAAATATCCTGGCGGAAAATATCCTAACGGAAAATATCCTGGCGGTAAATATCCTGGTGGAAAATATCCTGGCGGAAAATATCCTGGCAGAAAATATCCTAACGGAAAATAACCTGGCGGAAAATATCAAGGTGGAAAATATCCTGGCGGAAAATATCCTGGTGGAAAATCTGACATTGATTTATTTAATCTATTACTAGCCTGGGACTAAACTAAACTAAGAACATTTTGTTGCTTTCCCGAGTTCCTCAATCAATATTTGTGGCAAATCGGTCCAAGGGTTCCTGAGTTATGATCGGACAAACAAGGGAAACATAACCCTTTTTTTCTCTTATATAGATGGCCTCCTTGATACATGTCCCTAGTCCAACTCTTCAGACCAGCTGATTAAAAAAATAAGACCTCTAATGTTAACGTTTGGGTGGAAGGTAGACTTTTATTTTGACAAATATCAACATGTGACACATGTTATTACATCCATTTTTTGAAAAAAGAATTCTTAGAAATTATATTTCTTATCTCATTATAAACCTGAGTCTTGACCTTCTTGTTTTTCTAGGCTAATCCTCGGGAGTCTGATTAATTCCTTGAAAAAATAATGATGTCATAATCAAAAACAATATAATATTATTATTTTTCCGGAATAACAGGATCAGAGAACATGTATATTTTTTTTAAATTAAACCCATGATTGAACCATATTTAAACAAATATTTAAATATATTATGTCATTGTAATGGGTATTATTAAGTGCAAAAAAGTTTTTGCAGGGATTTTTATTTTTTCTAGTTTGTTTAAGATCAAAATGAACGTTTTTTCACACTAAACGTAGTGAGATGTGAAAACACTTTTATTTTGATCGAAAACAAACTAGAAAAATTAAGAATCACCGCAAAAACTTTTTCGCACACATGATACCCATTTCAATAACATATATAGTTTTATTCAATTTTACTCTAATTATTTAAAAGCAGGTCGATAAAGTTACTTAATCACCCTGTTGTATGATGATTAAGTAACTTTATCACCCTACAATGAGAAAAATTAGGTATGAAATTTTAAATTTTAATAGCAGGGTGAAAAAGTTACTTTTTCGCCCTGTTGTAGCCTGTATGACAATAAAGTCACTTAATCACCCTACAATGAGAAATATTAGACGTGTGATAAATTCCATCAAAATTGAATATTTGTCAAATATGTTGAATATTTTAATAAAGAAAATATGTTCTGTTATATAAACTCGGAAAATGTTAAAATTTCAGCTTTGTTCACGAATATGTATTAAAACTTTTCTAAAATGTTTATATCCTAGGTCCTGACGTTTCTTTGCCTAAAGTTTATTTCTTTGGAAAATGTGGAAAATACAATGGAATGGTGATGGATCTTCTCGGTCCAAACATAGAGGTGACGATCGTTTGAAAAACGATCGTTTCGTTCTGAAAAAAATCGAAAACAAAACGATCGTTTTTTAAAAAGTTCGTTTGTTAAAACATTTTTTGAGTTCGTTTTTTAATAAAGTTTATTTTTTTAACGATCGTTAAAGATCGTTAAAATAATTGTCAATAAAATATTTTTTTATTCGTATAAAAAATGGTCGCAAATCGTTTTTATAAAAACCATCGTTTTCAAAAACTATCGTTATTCATTTTCAAAAAGTTCAAAACGAGTGGGTTGTTTTAAAAACGATCGTTTTTTTCCGAAAATAAAACGATCGTTTTTGAAAACGATTGAAAAACGATTAACAACCCTTGAGGTGAAGCAACTGCTGTGGAATTGACCAAAAGAAAAAAAATTTGTTAAATCGAGTGATTTTCTCAAATTAAGATTCTAAATTCTATGACACGATCTTTTAGTGTGACATTTAAATCNGTCTTGTACTGTTATGTACTGTACTGTTCTGTACTGTACTGTTCTGTACTGTACTGTTCTGTACTGTACTGATCTGTACTGTACTGTTCTGTAATGTACTGTTCTGTAATGTACTGTTCTGTACTTTACTGTTCTGTACTGTACTGTTCTGTACTGTACTATTCTGAACTGTACTGTTCTGCACTGTAATTTTCTGTACTGTACTGTTCTGTACTGTATTGTTCTGTAATGTACTGTTCTGAACTGTACTGTTCTGCACTGTACTGTTCTGTACTCTAAATTTCTGTACTGTACTGTTCTGTACTGTACTGTTCTGTACTGTAAAAACTGTACTGTACTGTCCTGTACTGTACTGTTCTGTACTGTACTGTTCTGTTCTGTAAGTACTGTACTGTACTGTTCTGTACTGTACTTTTCTGTAATGTACTGTTCTGTACTGTACTGTTCTGTACTGTACTGTTCTGTACTGTACTGTTATGAACTGTACTGTTCTGCACTGTACTGTTCTGTACTTTAATTTTCTGTGCTGTACTGTTCTGTACTGTACTGTTCTGTAATGTACTGTTCTGAACTGTACTGTTCTGCACTGTACTGTTCTGCACTGTACTGTTCTGTACTGTAATTTTATGTACTGTACTGTTCTTTACTGTAAGTACTGTACTGTACTGTCCTGTACTGTACTGTTCTGTACTGTACTGTTCTGTACTGTACGTACTGTACTGTACAGTGCAACGAATAAAATCCAGAATCTGATAAATGTTGGCCATTTTTTACTTCATAAGTTATAAGTTTTCAAATGAAATTGAATATTTTAGAAAAATTGCAATACAAAGAACTTGTGTCTAAAAATATTAATACATACGATCCCTGCTTTTTTTTTAACAAGAAAAATCGAAGTTTAAAAGGACAAAAAATAAAACTTTAAAATACGAAATCCCTTTTACCATGTTTTAGCGAAATCAGCGGCCTTGATAAACCAAGACACATTGTTTAAAATTTATAAAGATAGTTTAATAATTAGATAAATGGATTTTAGGAATTGTTTAATTTGTGTGGACGTCAGTTCTCAATAAAAACTGTTCTTTTAATATCTATTCAGCTAATGTACAGGTAAAACAAACTATTATAATAAACAAAAAAAAGTAAAAGAAAATCTAATATCGTCTGACAATATTGCAATCACTCTAAGTCAGCTGCGAGGGAGCTAAGCAATCTTTTTAGAGTTAAAAATATGTTGAAATAAGTTGAAAAAAAAAATAACAAAGTCGTAGAAAGTATAATACCTTGTTTTCTCTTTTAAGTGGACATGACAATATTCTATTTACAACTTTTTACTGAAATTTAATATTTTTTAAAATAGAAATGTTAAAATGTTTGTACAAAATTATAAGTACTCTAGCTATTTTTCTTTCTATATTTCTATTTTTGAAATCGTTAAAAAATCTTTAGATTGTTTTTAAACAAATCCCAACCCTACTCTTTAGCACTAAAATTATCATTTTCTTCTCAGTATATTTCGCCAAAAAACTTTGGCATCATCAGGAGTTCATCCTTACTTTTTTGAAGATTATTGAATTTCAAGTTTCAAAATCTAGATATTTTTCATTTTTTTTATCATTCAATTTGTTTAAGTGAGGAGATTTAGATTGAAGTAAATATTACACTTTAGATCGAAATCTTAAACGTTAATTTCACCATGATATTTTAATTCTAATTTTTTGAATTTTTAAAATTTTTTTGTTTTGTTTAATAGAATAGAGAAGATTCATGAATGTGGTATGGTCTACAGGTAAATATGCGAGATCTCTATAAATGTCGGAATATTTATATCCAATAAACGAATGCTTAGAGTAAAAATTACAAAAATGGTTGTTATTCGAAAAATTTTGAAAATCCAGAATTTTTTTTTATAAAATTCGCAAACTTTTTGTTTGTTATTATATTTTATTTTACTGATCAGACATGATTTAGATATCAATGTTTATAATTTTGAAAACTGATTATTTTCAATTGTGATTTCTCTCCAAAAATTTCTGCAGGAAGACACCACATCAACATGAAATAATTACCTATAAAAGAAGAAAATATCCACCAAATTTTTTATCAGATAAAAGCCGGTTTCAAGCTTAACATTGTGAATCGGACATTGCCATCTTTGCATAGAGGTTCACTAGAAATTACGCTTACATTTATTTTCAGAATAAATTGTTATGGGTTCAAATACAAGAAAGAACTGAAATATTATAAAACGATTATTAACCATACTTCCCTTTCTTATGCAACAATATTTTCTCTCTCCTTCGTTATAATGAATAAAGAAAAAGAAATGTAGAAAACTAAAAATATTTGTATTACATGATATAACATGAAAGCATACTTTCCTTCAATCTTTAGCATATGGTAATCTCTGTTTAGTGTTCATGGGTATTCGTTTGTTTGTATTTCTGAGCATAACTTATTAACCCGTTGACCGATTTGCCTCAAACTTCGATTAAACAACTTTAAAAGAACCCCGGAATGTTCTTGGCGGCAAAAATATATGAGTTTAGTTCCTTGTCTTTTAAGGGATATTTTGATTTCCAGGCAAAGCTGGGTTAAATCGCCACTAAGCAGTCATCAAAGAGAATAGAATATATATTAGAGGGGAATTTACTAGAAAAAGTGTAAAACGGACATTTTGTTGCACTGTTTCCATACTGCAGGTGTACTTCACATATTTATGCTATATAACCTTTTGGGCCCTGGAATATCATTTCATAATTGACCAATCATTTCACATAGACTTTATGCATTTCACTTTACAAACGATGATTTTCCGTTTTAACTATAAATCAAATGATGTTTTTTATTCGCCTAATTCATTTTATAAAGTTTATTTAACAGCTTTAAAAAATTCGAAATTGAAATGAATAGTCTAGGGAACATACTGTATTAATGTACTCTACTGCATATAATTTGTGAACATTTACATGCTTGTACACTTTGAACTCCCTTTCAGGCTGAAAGGGACTGAAAAAAATCATACCGAGAGATTCTCTAAATTCCCCTCTTATATATATTCTATTCTCTTTGGCAGTCACAGACATAATGCTTATAGAGATGTGTATTATACACTGCACTCTATCTAAATCAGAATTGTAATAATAATTTCAATAAATTTGTCCTAGTTCCACTAATGATTTTTTAGACTTTAATTTTTATTTCCACAATTGAAACAGCATGGATACATGGGGACACAAAGAGAGGCTGCCAATTAACAGCTTCTCTTTGTTTACTTGTAAACTTACCATTTAAAAAAAGCTGTTAAGAAATGGAAACTTAATAGAAAAGTAATCTCTAATGTATTGATATAGACGCCGACTACTGTAAAAAATCTGCATATTTGTTGTTTTCTTTCAAACCGTGAAATCATTACTAGTTTAAAAATAAACACTAAAAAGAATCAATATTTAGCAGTGATAGCAACGTGATTGACAGGAACAATGCAAACGATTAAAATTTATGAAAACTAGTTTAAATCTAGTTCAGAAAAAGTCGACTTACAGTCGGATATAAGTCGACTTTTGATTTCTAGTCCACAAGTTTGAAACAAAAAGTCGTAATAAAGGTCGACTTTTTTCTTTCCGGTTTCAAATAAGTCAAAATTTTGGGACAAAAGAAGTAAACAAGTTGACTTTTTCATCTTAGTTAAGAACTAGTCACAATCTTGGAATAAAAATTCGTAAAAAAAAAACGAATTTTTCATCCCAGTTTTGAACTAAGACACAACCTTGGAACAAAAAGTCGTGAAAAATTCTATTTTTTCATTCCAGTTTTGAACTAAGTCACAACCTTGGAACAAAAAGTCGTGAAAAATTCTATTTTTTCATTCCAGTTTTGAACTAGTCACAAACTTTGAACAACGAGTTGTAAAAAGTCGACTTTATCTTTCCGGTTTCGAACTAGTCAAAAACTTGGGATAAAATGTCGTAAAAAAATCGACTTTTTATACCAAGTTTTTTAACACGTCACGAACGGGGAAAAAAAGTCGTAAAAATGAAAAAATGTGTCTAATGATATTTCAAACTTCAATTACACAATTCACATTTTTAGTAAAAAAATCAATTAAACAATTTTTTTCAAATAAACATTAAAATCATAAATTTAATATTTCCAGGGATATGAAACCAGAAAATGTTTTGATTGGAAGAACTGTTGATCAAAAGGAGAATATTTTACATATAGGAACAAAAAGATTTTTTTGTGTGTAAAACCTTTCTTTCACGGACATTTTGAAATATAAAAACTTCACCTTGCTATTATTCTTTGGAATTTTTTTGTCGCCAATAAAAAATCGTTTGTTTTAATAGTTGATTATGGTCTGGCAAAACCTTACATTGATTCTGAAACAAAGAAACATATTTCCTACTCAGAACATAGATCCATAACAGGTACAGGTACAGGTACAGGTACAGGTACAGGTACAGGTACAGGTACAGGTACAGGTACAGGTACAGGTACAGGTACAGGTACAGGTACAGCTAGGTACTGGTAGTCTTCCTTAGTGTTCAGCATATGTTAAAAATATTGTTTTAACACTAATAACTAATCACTATACCAATTTTTGTGTTCTGATACTGTTCAATATGTATATAGGTGGATTACTTTGTTCAGGAACTGTTCGTTATATGTCTATAAATGCTCATCAAGGAGCTGAACAGAGTAGAAGGGATGATATGGAAGCTACGGGTTACCTAATGGTGTATTTACTAAAGTAAGCGTACGTTCCATACACTAATCGTTCAAAAAAAGGGGGGGGGGAGTTTTTTGAAAAAACTTTCCTCATGTTGAAACTATTAATTTTGAAACTTTATTAAATCTTGATTGAAACTAAACTAAAATCACTGACTAGTTTTTAAATGATTAAGCTATATAACGTATCTAAAATTTACATATTCAAAATGCTCTTTACACTTTTTAAATTAGTAATATAATTATTGAGATATATTATAACACACAAATATAAATTGATAAAAATTGGTTTAGATACTGTAAAAAATAAAACAAACGAAAAACTTTAGATAATGAAAATAAAAGAATTCTACTTATTTATTATATAATTTCATAAACATTCTTTTTCAAATTAATCTAACAAAACAATATCAGAAGTATGCATAAAAAACATGTTGATTAAGTAAAAAATCAAAAAATCCTAGAATCAAAGATTTTTCCCTTTTATTCCCAACATAAATTGTTCCCATATATACGATATATATAAATATATATATATATATATATATATGTATATATATATATAGATATATGCTTGAGTTTAAGGGACCCTTCATGCAAATATAACAATGGCCGATTCACAATGTTTCAAGAACCTTTATCTGATCAATAATTGGGAAGATATTGTCGTTTTTCTGGGTTTAACATCTTTAATTCTAATCATTTCTTCATGTTTTCCGGCAGAAATGAACAAGTCAAGTTTGTATGAGAGAAACATGAAAAATAATTAGTTTTCAAAATTATAAACATTTCAAATTTGATCAGGTTTTAGGATACCGTTGTGAATCTGCAGCATTATCCGATTAGCATTCGAGGGTCGCTAAAATCACGCCTACAATCCCTTTCCGAATTTACTTATTTAATTTTGTTTAAGGCGTGGAACTCTTCCTTGGATGGGACTGAAAGAGGAAGATTTGAGGTAAAAATAATGATCAATAAATCAAACAGAAATACCAACATTTTATTTTTCTAATTAATTGTAGGTTGTTTGTATGGACTCATTTACTAATCCCTAATTGTTTAAAGAATTTGAGAAGCGGCTCAAAAACTATTGGTTTTAATTCAATGTTTTGAGAAAGGAGCCCGGAGCTTGAATGAACCCGTTTCAGCGACGCGGTTGAAATTTATTAAATTCGGCCTCTGATGATTTGAACCATTAATATGTCAAGCTTCGAAATATCATAGGTCTACTACACTGGGTTGCAAAGATATGGGGATTACAGTTTGAGGCAAAGGCTCAATTCTTTTTGAAGTGCGTTTATGTTAATATCAATAAGTTTATTTGTTTGGGCCTGCTTAACGTAAGAAGTCTCTGTAAGTTACCTTAAAAAGTCATTTTAATATTGTCATTGTTTGGTAGTTTGCTTCTTAAACATTCTTCAAATTGAATTAAGGTTTCTAATTACGATATAAAAATAATATATTTTAGAGAACGATATCGAACTATTGGAAAGATGAAGGAAAATATATCGTTAAGAAAACTATGTTCAGGAAAACTAATATTATTTTATAATAAAAAAATCAAATCTAAAAAAAGAAGGTTCGTGAAATGATAACCCGATCTTTTAAATCGGGTTATCATTTCACGAACTTTATTTTTTTTAAATTTAATATTTAATGAAACTTAAATCCATAAAGTTAATGACCTATGATCATATATTATAAGCTAGGGTGGGTGTTTATACTATGTAACCCTGCTCTGCACTATTCTAAGAACTTCGCAGAAAAAAATGATGATTTGCTTAAAAAGAAACAAATAAAAGAAGAAAATATAATGTATATTGATATGGGTAATAAAAAGATGTATCTTCAACCGGTGAATAAAGTTTACCATTTTTCATAAATATTTTTAATATTATTTGTTTATAACGATAACATCTTTTTTGGGACTGTGCCACATTTTGAATGCATAAACAATTCAGCTTTTTTGTCTCAAATACTTTTTAAAAACAAGTCCATGTGAATTTTTCTTTACGAATTCAGTTTTTCAATACAAATCTTTAAATACCTTTGGGGTCACATAGATACATTTAAAAAACAATTTTTTGCTTACTTTCAAGTAACCCTTCGCACTATGTTCTCATTAAAAAAGCTGTTAAGGCATCCTTCACAAAAGATTGGATTATATTTTTTGCAAACTTCTTAAAATCGTTATTGATACATTAACGTTTGTTACAAGCACTTTGTGCTGTAAGGGTAAAACATAGACAATCAACCTATAACTCTAATATTAATACTTTATAAAAATAATTTATTTACTAAAACCACAGTTTCTTGTCTTATTTACATTTCAAATACAGCCGGAAGTAATTTATTCATATGTTTTTCAACTTAAAAGACTTTCAAAAATGAATTTAAATTAATTCTGCCATCAGCAAAAAGCAATAAATAACTCATTTAACAGTCAAAATGAAAAGCCTGAATCGGAAAATTAAGAAATTTTAATCATTATATAAAAAAGTACTTAAATCTTCATTAAAAACCATTACATTTATACATAAATTTCATAAAAATTAATCTTTTAAAAAATTAAAATTCAACAAAAATATTCAATAATGGTTCAGAAGCACCTCGAGAGTTTTGTACTTACCTTAGATATGTCAGGAATACTTTTAGACAAAAAAAAACATTTTTGCCTTCAAGTGAAAATTTTAATACCAAAATTTACCTTTTTTTCTCCTTTTAACGAAAAATCATTAAAAGCGTTGAAGTATTATGTTTAAGAAAATAAAATTATTTCAGAAAAAATATTTTTTGGAAAAATTTAGTTTTTTTCAAAGAATGGAAATTATAAATATTAATTGTCTATTTCGGTTAATGGAACCTAACTTTTCTTTTTTACATTATTTTTTTCTAAGAGGTCTGAGATGATTTAAAGGTCAATAAAAGTAAAAAATCGAGATGTTTTTAAATGAAAAGTATTTCCAAAAGATCGTTGAAATTTACAGATCATCCAGACTATAACTACTGCAGAAATCTATTCAGGTGAGTCATGTCTTCAGTTAACCCTATTCCTGCTGGGGGGGGGGGTTAATTCCCCCCCCCAAAAAAAATTATTTTTAAATAACTCAAAAGTTATTGGTCTGAGGCTGTTGAAATTTTCTGATTTTAGGTCTAAAGCCGGGTTTTACTAACTGCCTGAGTCCTCAGGCAGACTGCCTGAATGACTACGTTTTCCAGTAAATAACCAAATCTTTGTGCTAACCCCCTTCCAGTTGTCAGATTTTGAAAATTTTTAGATTTTTGGAAAGCTTATGACATAAGGATATGAAACGAAATACAACTTGTTAAAAGAAATTTGCAGATTTTTAGTTTTTCTTAATTATACATCAGGTTATTTAAAATTTACTAAATTTTTTTTCATATTTGAAGTTGCAGGGGTTTAAATTTATATCATGATGTTTATGAACTCCGCTGCATTTGAAGCACGCTGCAGAAATGCAAGTTGTGCAGGAAAAAACAAGGCGATACACCAAATGAATTAGCCTCTGTCAAGAAGATTAATGTCATATTTATCTAGACGTATACGGCTTGGCAATGCATAGTTTTGTAGAAGATAATATATTTGACTGGATCCTGCTAGGCTCTGCTAGTATATATATATAAATATATTAATATAATTATGAAGAAGTTGCAGTGTGTTCCACATTAAAAAAAAATTCAATTTAAAAAAAACTAATTCTGAAAACGTATCCACCCCTAAAGTAAGAGTTTTAAAGTCGAATTTGCGCTCAAACTCAGGATTTCCAGATCTTCAAAAAGTTTAATATGTCTAAAATGAATCCGAAAGAAGTTTTCCACAACACTGCATCTTACATAGCCGGTCACTCCCTTTAACATCGTGGATTTTAATGTTTTACGATTAAAGTTAGTAAAAAAAACTTTATATTAAAATATATTTAGACATTCTAAAAACATCCAAAAATCAAAATCTAAAAATTTAACACGAATTTACAAAATGAAACCATTAAACAAAGCAAACAAAACTATGATGAATGATGGTCACATTTTTAAAAAGAACGAATAAAACCGGTGCAAATAAAACCATGAATGAAATGTAAAATTGTGAGAATGACTTTCTAAAATTGTGTTTTAAAGATTTTTTAATTAAATAAAAAGTATAGGAAATTAAAATATATAAATGAATATTTTTATTTATTGAAAACATTGAATCAACCGGATTGAAAAAACTTAGAAATTACTAATTTTTAAATTACACTTTAAACTCCTTAAAAGAAATAAAAAAAAGATAGATGAAGGATTTGAGTCTATGTCACAAACTCAAATTTTCAGATGCTTATTTCTTTGTTAGCTGATGGCGTAAAAGTTGCTGAATTTTCAAACTTTATTTGATCTAAAAAAATTCATCAAAGGTTTACGACATTGGGTTGCAAAGATATATATGTATTATAAAATTAGAGTTTGTAACAAAGTCTTAATTCCTTTCTAAATTATTAAACTGAATTTTCATAATTATACAATTTAAAAACCAAAGATTTTAGGTTTCAGCAGAATAAGGTTCCATTGATAGACATTCGTCGAATACAGTCAATAGAAGAAAATGGAACAAAGGTAATCATCTCAGGGACTGTTTTAAAAACACAGATCAAATTTAAACAATATAGCTAATGTGGTAGGCGATTTTCTCAAAACAAGTAAGATGACTTTTTTACTAAAGTTTTACTTAATAACAAGCTTTTTTCGAATTACAAGTTTACAAGTAATCAAAGGGAAGCTTTTTTAATTAACAGCTTCTCTTGACTTCTATGTTAATGTGTCTCAATGCTGTTTACAAGCTTGATATCAATAAAAATTGAAATTGAAAGTCGTCTTCATTTTTTTGAGATAAACGCTTACCAATGTAGAAAATCAAATAAATATAAACCAATGGAAATTTATTATTGTTATTTGATTAAAAATTACTAAAAAACTTAAACTATTTTTTCTAAATGTTGTTTAGGTCATTCGAAAGAGTATTAAACTTGAAAAAACATTCAGCAGGAAACTTTGAGTTTTAAATCTAATCAATCAAATTTTAATCATACACTCATATCTAGAATGAATAAATTTCTTAGCACAAAAATTTTTGAAACAAAGGAAAACAAAGGTTGCAAAAATATTGGAATTAGAAAATTTGAGTTTGTGGCAAAGATTACATTGTAAAAAATAGTTCTATCTAAATTGTATTTGTATTTGTAAAAAACACAAGTTATAAATAAACAGTCGTTCTTTTGGTAATATTGAGAATGTAGTTGGACCTGGCTCGTTCCGGGGGAATCCAGGTAGAGGTAACATCTGTACTGTACTGTACTGTACTGTACTGTACTGTACTGTACTGTACTGTACTGTACTGTACTGTACTGTACTGTACTGTACTGTACTGAACTGTGTTGTACTGTACTGTACTGTACTGTACTGTACTGTACTGTACTGTACTGTACTGTACTTTACTGTACTGTACTGTACTGTACTGTACTGTACTGTACTGTACTGTACTGTACTGTACTGTACTTTACTGTACTGTACTGTACTGTACTGTACTGTACTGTAATGCAAGTACTTTAGTGAAATGTACGGTTATCTTCTGTACAGTAAGTTCTTCACAATACTTTCATTGATAATTTCATCATTTCGGAAATTATTCTGTTTAAACTACAGTTTACTAAGCTTGAAGGATATTTAAACGAAACAGCGAATATAAATATATTGTAATCAAATCGAGAAGTTTTCATAAATTGTTCTATTTCTTTGATGGTCAAAGCTAAAGCTTAAAATCGCTTTGCTATTAAAACGCTGTCTTTTATAAAATTGCGTACAAATTTATTTTTCAAATTTTACAAAAAAAATTTCAGACCGATACAAAAACAGTGCTCCGGTGACACCTGAGAAATCTATTCAGGGATCAGGACTTCAGAGCTTAACAAAATTAATAAAAATTGGGTTAAAAGGACTGTAAGTGTAATTGTAATCCATGCAAAGATGTCGAGTCAATGCCTGATTTACTACGATATCTTTTAATCTTTTGTTTTATATCAAGTATAAATTATACATCAATGTTAATTGTTTTGAAAACTGTTTATTTTCAAGTGTGGGTTTTTACAAAAGATACATTCGCTGCGCATTTCTACTACATAAACACATAGAAATTATATTCTTTTAAACCTAGAAAAAACGATATATTTAACTTACTGTTGTTACTCGTGCATTCCCATCTTTGCATGTAGGAATTCTTTAATTACATGTAAATGTGCATCTAATTCTAAAATGTAATTTTGAACGGGAAAATTGCAAAAAAATGTTTTAATTAAATGTGGCGTCCCTTTTAAATTATTAATTAATTTTCATTTGAAACATTGCTAATTTTGAATGCGTTTATCAAATCAAAAACATAAATAAAAATACATAACTTTTGATAACTATCCTACCTGTGGGGTTTGAACTTTCGATCGCTCGGGGCAAGGGTATTAGTGCAAGGAAAGTTAATTGCGGTCGTGTACTCTGTGTACATATTGAAACCAGTTCTCTCTGGGCGGAATTTGTAAACAAGAATAGATGCATCAATATTTGTCTGGTATCTGAGGAGGTTAAAAGTATTGAATTTGGATAATTTTGAAAATTTACATAATAGTTTCCTTATACCAGAATATTTCATTGATTATTTTTGTGAAAATTGATTCCTTGTCAGGCTGTGGCATCCGTCGTGTGTTTACATTACCGCCCAGAGACAGTACACTGCAGTACCAAAAATTCGTACACCTCTGAAATAACTTTCCTTGCATTAGTACCTAATCTGATGCTCGGAACCCGTCATGATGAACCAAAAAGATTTCCAATAAAAAGTTGGAGTCTGATTTAGATTCAAGTTGATGTTGAACAAAACAACAGTCCTAAGAGTCCCAGGTAAAATAAATATATTAGTTAAAGGGACCGTTCACTTATTTGGGTAATTTCAGGGTAAACTAAACAGTCTATTCGCTCTTGATTGGTAATAGTCTTACTTTTCAAAGACAACTGTAGCCGGAGAAAAAGCCGATTTTTCGTTCAGAATTCGAGTGCAAAGGGACGGTCCCTCTTTAAAGACACTAATTGATGTTTTTTTCAGTATGTTGTGAATCAAAATAAATTTCGAATATAAAATTAAACTGTAGTATCTGATCGTTAATTGTAAATGTCATTATTTTTTAATTTTTGTTGTTTTTCAACTTTCTATTTCTAAAATAACACTATTTTATCGCATTCAAAATTGTGTATTGCCTGTGTAAAAAGCTGAATTGGACGCGGCATGACAGATGGAAAGTTGTGCACATACGGGAAAAAAATCTACAAAATCTACGAAACAAAATACGAGTAATGATTAATTGATTGTCGTAGAGACGTCGTCTTTGTAAACACATTTTACATGTTTTAATGCGAAAAATGTAAATTTCTTGCTAACTCAAATATCAAAAGTTTTCATATTTTAGTTTATAATAACGAACACATAATGACATCAAAATATAATAAATTTAAATGTTTTTGGGCTGCTGTTACTGAAAAAAACATCAAATAGTGTCTAAAGAGAGGGACCATCCCTTTCCGCTCAAATTCTGAACGAAAAATCGGCTTTTTCTCCGGCCACAGTTGTCTTTGAAAAGTAAGACTATTACCAATCAAGAGCGAATAGGCAGTTCAGTTTACCCTGAAATTACCCAAATAAGTGAACGGTCCCTTTAAAGGTAAGAGGTAAGAGTGCAGTATGTGCAGAATTTCTTAAGATTCAGTTAAGAGACCTTAAGACGTTTTTACATCGTTATTAAATATGTTTAAAAGAATTAACAATATTGGAGGATTTTATAAGGATTTAATTTGCGCTCTTGCTGAAATATTATACAACGTAAACACGGCTCCTAGATCTCAAATAAATCCTGGCAATTTCTCTTCAATACAGCACTCATGACTCAACTATCAGGTCTAGCCGGTATCTCCCATTAAAAAAATGTCAAACAAAAAACTGTCATTGAAAAATGATATTGTATTTTAGTCCTCCTGGATCAATATCTATTCCAGTTCCTAAGAACCCTATCACCTTCTCCATGCAGAACAGTTTGTGCATTCAAGGTAAAATCTATATTTTTTTAACAGATATGAGCTGAAAACTCTTGTGTTGGATACAGATTTCTAAACCTCTCTCTGTATCAACTCTTGACAGCTTACTCATCTCTTTTGAATTTCCCGGCTGTATTGCAACCAATGCATTGATCAGGCGCACAACATTTCAAAATGTCTCGGCTTTAGATTGGTTGTTCGAATTCTGTAATAAACACTCTAATTGGTTGAATTTTATATACTTTCTTGGATATAAACTAAACATTAAATAATCTTGAGATTAACAAAGAAAGGAGATCAATATTCACTATTATAAAATTTTTAGATCCGGATCCAGAAAAAACGGATTTGAATTCATAAAAATGGATCTGCATTTTTTGCTAATTTCTTTCACCAAACACAAATTTCATTTTTTTGCCGAAACTTGATTAGCTATTATAACAGAATGTGTTTTCTCAATGTGCATTTGATTATTTAAAGTATAATACAATGATAACCAGAAAACAATTAAATAGGAAGACGACAAATTATAGCAATACTTATGTGAATTTAATGTTGTTTCTAAGAAAATATATGAATTGTTTTGTTTCATGTTCATTGGAGTTAAGTTATAACTTCTATAACTATTTTCGTGTTCCTATTTTTCTGGTTATCACTGTATATATCCTAGGAAAATTATTCAACATCTCTCTTTAATGCCTTTTTAGATTTAATTTAGCCCCGAGCTTTAGCGAGTAACAAAATATAATCTAAAAAAGCGAGAACCTTCGAGATATAGAGAAAATGTAGGTCAAAGAACACGTCGTGCCAAAATAATGGTGTTATATGAAACGTTTGTGTACTTGTCTTATTTCTATAGCTGTTTCTAGATTAAATAAGCTTTGAAACAAAGCAAAGTTATTTTAATTGAAAAAAATATTTTGGAAATATCCTAAATTCTTTGGAGAAAATCCGGGAACCAATCAAATCGTGATATAATGTACAGCTAATTAAACATGATGATTACTTTATTTCACGTTCATTATGAAATTCACGATGAAGTGACTAATAATGATAAAGTACACAATAGTTTCATAAAAAGGTGAAACAACTCTTTCAGGGGCTGTGTTAAGTATATAATTTATTTTTCTATGCACTATTTAGTTTGTGTTTAATGCCCTAACAATAACATGCATAAACGAATAATAAGAACAAAGTCTGGTTAATAACTTTCTGAAAGAACTTGAGAGTTGTAAGAAGTAAAAACATTGGGAGTTGGAAACTTTTTAATAAGATGAGCTCTCAGAGTTTAACTTCATCAGAGGCCGAATTTAAAGAATTTGAGCCAAGGCTTGAATTTAAACCGTGGCTCGAATATGATTGATTACACTAAAAATTGTATTCAATTTTCAAGATTTAAGCCGGCGTTCAATTGAAACCGGTTAATGGAAGATTTGAGACGCGGCTTAAATTCATTAAATTTGGACACTGGTTAACCTAAACAATTGAATTAAGTAACTGATTTTATTTATTTTGAACCAATTAGTGAGAAAATCGTTTATTTTCGTATTTATATAGAGAATGACTTAATATCCCTGAACTAAGTTGAATCAGTTCTGAGCTGAAAACTTTAGAATTGTGAATATCGAGATCAATTTTATCTCAAGTTTGAATCAACAAAAGTGTATACAACTCAACCATACAAGTGGGGTTTGGAGAAACCAAAACAGTCAATAATTGACTGCAGCAGGGAGATTAAAAAAGAGAGACAAATAGCGGATTAAAAGAATATTAAATATTGGATATTCAGACTAAGCGATCGGGATTAAAGATATCCAATTCTAAGGATTTCAGCTCTGACCATTAAAAAGTTCCAGCTCTGGTGAAAGTATAAATCTAATTTTCCACCTTTCAGAACTTTCCCATCTCAGCACCAATATGTGTTTCTAACTTTAGTATTCATGTGTTATAGAAGGGGCATACAAAAATGGGACTATGTATTGATTTAAAAAATAAAAATTAAAGAAAGATTATTGGACATTGCTATTTCTAACTAAAGAGTGAAAAGAAGAATAAAAATCATTTGGATTTAAATTGAACTAAAAGTTTAGTTAAAAAACACAGCTATATTAAATTAACTTTATAAGATGATTTGTTAAATACTGACTGGCCACAATTAAAAGGTCATAGTGTGCGTGTAAGCGACGTTAAGACTGCAAAAAAACATCTACATTTTGGGAAAAAAGCTTTAAGTTTTTTTACGCAAAATAACAACATATTCAGGTTAAAATAGATATAAAAATAGATTCTGAAAATCATTATTAAAAGATGTGGTTCCGTCTCAATGCATATATAAAAATACCTATTTTAAAGACTTACACGGAACTGACCCGTTTTCTTTTGGATTTTTGAACTTCATCTCAACAATACTAGTTACTACTACGGTTTAGAAACTTCTCTAAAAAATTGTCTAGGCGACCGAGCCTTATTTGACTTTAAAAAAGGGGGGGGGGTGGGCTGTTTACATCGAATCATCAGTATTAGCAATGTCTTCTTTAGAGATAACCAAATCGGATTCCATATCTCTTCACAACTTCAACATGTCAAATAAAAGTGGTGGCACACAAAATACGGTAATATTTTTTTTTTATTTTATCTAAAGATTATCAGTTTCCCAGAGCACTCCCCCAAATGAGCTTGGGGAGTAGTTTTTCAGGAGTAGTCTGCATCATGTTCCAAGGCTCACCCCTTTCGATAAATTATTTTGGAGATATAGGAAAAAAAACAATCATTACAATGCTCATCGTAAGAATAAAAAAATCATTCTGAAGAATCTCCTAAAACTGTTTTTTGCTTAAAAAAAAGTTCCATAAATTACATTTCCCCTAAAAGCCCAAAATTACTCTTTTTAAAAATATATTTTACTTATTTTGTTTACGCTAGGTGATGCTTGTTGCAGAGATTGAAAAGGATAATAACCAGGAAGAGAAGAAATTTTCATGTGTCAATAATAAAAAAGTTTTTTTTATTCAAACTCTATAAATCAAAGTTTGATTAATTTGTATTTAAACAGAAAAAGAAAACAGCTTTCAAAACTTTCCATTGCAATTTCTTGTTATAAATTGTTTTTTTTTAAAATATCTCTTCCTTTGTATAGAGTATTAATGAAATGGTTCTAGAGGACTTAAATACATTGGATGTATTAAAAGAATGTGTTGAGACGCTATCAATCCAAACAGAACATGATAAACAAAATGAACGGGAGGAACAAAAAATCGCTAACACTGGTTCTGAACAAGTAGATCCAACAGTATCATTTCAGACAATGAAGAGTTTAGAGCTGTCTAAGGACATTGAAAAGCCAGGTAAAAAAAAAACTAAAAATATCAGATCCCGTTATTTAGATTATTTGGTAAACATTTTCTGATCTCTATATCTTTGAAGTTAAGTTATTTCAAACTGCAAATTTTGTCGGATGAATTAAACTTAGTTTAAGATAACAATCGTGTAAACTACAAGGTTGTTAAGATATAGAAGTTAGCAACTTTCAGTATTAAAATGAAACAATTTGACAAAATTGCCTAATTTTGATTGTTAGGAAAAGGGATGTTTAATACTTCCCTTGCTGTCAACATATTCCTAAGAATAATAAATAATAGTACTTGATTTGGGATTTTGAAAAATTTAATTGTCAAGTTTATATGAATCATATTTTTCATAAGATTTTTTTGAAAAATTCACCAAGTTTTGACAAATTTTAATACAAAACTTCTTTTTATTTTCAGTTAAATTTCTTTATTGATTTTTAAAAAATATAATCTTATTTAATTCCAAATATTGTCTTTACTGTTGACAAGAAAAAATGTTGTCAATTGCTCTGCTGCATAAAGATGGTTTACCGGGTACTCCTTTTTAAATCGTTTAAAATATGAATATTTCAATATAGATAGGGTCACTCACGTGGATTTAACGGTTCTTTCAATATTGCAGAATGCTGTGACTAGGGTTTCCAGGCGAAATTTTTTGCACGAAAATCGTGCAAAAATTGCTCAATGATTTTCGAGTAGAAAGTGCACGAAATTTCGATGATTTTGAAGATTGATGCGCAAAAGCTATTTTGCGCAAATTTTGAAGAAAATCTTGGTATTTACGCATTTCGTTATTTCTTGCTATTTCGTTATCTCGTTTGTTCAACACATGTTTATCATAACAAATTTTATTAGAGAAAGTAACCAACATTTTAACAGTGTCTAAACTATGAATTTAATTATTATGTGAAACTGCATATTGTTGATTTCTAAAATAATGCTATGGAAGTTTTTTTTTACTGAAACTAATTCACAGCAATCTGTCCAAAATTAAAATCTTTCATATTTATGACATCAATAAATAGGGATAATCTTTATGGCATGCAACAAATATTACTTAATTTTGTACCGAACGCTGCTCATTCTGTTAGTCCGGGGCAAGGTTATAATGCAAGGAAAGTTATTTCAGAGGTGTACGCATCTTTTGTACTGCAGTGCACTGTCTCTAGGCGGTAAAATAAACACAAGACTGATGTCGAAGCCTAACATTGGATCCATCTTTCACATAAAAAATCAATGAAATATTCTGGTCATAGGAAACTATTATGTGATTATCAAAATTATCAAAATGTAATGCTTTTAACCCGTTCGGATACTACAAACAAACACTGATGCACCCATTCTTGTCTAGAAATTCCGTCTAAAGAGAACTGGTTTCAATATGTACGCAGAGTATACGCAACTGCAAATAATTTTTCTTGCAATATAACCTTGGTCCGGGATGCACTGTAAATTAATATCTTGTTTAACTCTTTGAACTAGGAGAGAGAGAAGCTACTGAAGCAAAATATGAAGATCATGAAGAACTAATAGATCTGGAAGCAGACGAATATTCTAAACAATCTGTTAAATCAGAAGCAAGAAAAAATCTTGAAAAATCAGAAAATCCGTATAAAAGAATTTATCTCGGAGCTCCAGTAAACCCAGACCCAGGTGCTGAACATCCTTTAGATATACACGACCTAGAGGCACAAGCAGTGGCTGAAACATCAGCTGAAAAAAAGAAACAATTAGATCTGGAAATCCAAGTTGAACCTACAGATCATGTAAACAGTAGTGTAATCATTAAACCAAGACTCCTTGAATCTACAGTAAATCATGTAGCACCTGAAGTAAAACATGAAAAAAACAATTTACCTCCGGAAGCTGAGGAAAAACATGTGTCATTTTCTAAGATCAAAAATGGGGTAAGCAGTTTTTAAATCATTTTAAATGAAAAAAAGTAAGATGACAGTTTGAAAAATGGTTAATAAACTTCAGGATTTTTTTAAAAAAAATGAAAAAGCCGAAGTTATTTAAGTTTTAAACCAACCAATTAAATAATTTTTTGACATAGAAGAAAACGCCAATAAATTGTAAAAAATGTTTAGAAATTTATCTGGCCAAGTACACATTTAATCAATGGTTTAAAAAAGAAGTTTTCGCTAAAAATGTTCATTTTGAACGGCGAAGATTAGCCCTTTCTCATAAAAAAGTCCAATTTTAGTAATTAAAACAATTTACATAAAATTGACATATTCAGAGACCAGCGGAGAAAAAAAGATTTGCACATGAAAGTGAATACTTATCGAGCAGGTAGATATTTTTAGTGGATCATTTATTTTGGATTTCGGAGCCATATTTGTTTTAAACTTATCAAATTTCCTTTCCAAAATTGGAAATTATTGAATTGTAAAAATTTCGATGTTAGAATCAACAATTTCGTAATAAATCCACTTTGTGACTAAGAAATGAATAATTGTGTACGTTCTTTCTTTTCAAAATGGTTCTGTTTTAAAAGAAATTGATTCGTTGCCATAAACTCAAATTTTTTAATCCTAATATTTTTACTTCCTGATAGTGTGAACTTTTGATTTTACTGATTTGGTAAATAACTTAATACCTTTAAAGCTTCTAAATTCGTTCAAACGATGTTGTTCATTTATAAACGATATCTAACAGACTTTAATACCAATCGTTTTTACTAAACAAACGCATTTTCCTAAATATCATTTTAGAGAATATTTTTATTTTGTAATTAGAGAAGGGTATATATCGCTTTTGAAAACCTACATAGTTTTCGTGAACGAGGGTATCGTTCAGAAAAAAAAACGATGGACACACAACTTGGATTGGTCAGAGAAGTAAAAACCAAACAATTATAATTCGTCCAAACGATGTTGTTTGTTTGTAAACGATGTCTAACAGACTTTAAAAACCGATCGTTTTTACTAAACAAACGTATTTCCCGAAATAGTTTGAAAAATTATATTTTTTTTACTGAACGAACGATTTTTTACTGAACGAACGATTTTTTCGCAAACACTTCTTACAAAACGAACGAAATAGATGAAAAATGAACGATAATTTTGACAAATTTAATTGTTTTAAACGATTAAAAAAAAAAGAATAAAATGTTCATAATCGACGAACAAACGAAATAAAAAAACCTAATGCGCCCATCTCTGTTTTTTTTCTAAGCTTTGCAAAAGCAAAGATAATACAAAATAATTTGCCATGAAAGACAGTATTTAAAAGCAATGCATGACCTCTAAAATGAATATATTTTGCAGTGAACAAGCAATCCTCAAGTCAAGTGTTCCACCCCAGAATCAAGTAGAAATAGTAGCAGGGTGAGATAACATTTATAAACATCAAATTTGGATTACAAATAAAATTATCGAAATATTAGGTTTGTCAAAAATTAACACGGTTAATGGAAAAACCAAACAGAAATTACAATATAACCAAAGTTTAGATTAAATTTTATAATGATACCATATAATACATATAATATATATAATGTAAAAATAATACTAAAATAATATATTTTGTTTCAGACCTTGCACCTGTGTTCCATTGTTCCAACTTTTTCGGAGTAGACTTTTCTGTTCTAATTCAAATTAGTTTCTGAGATCTTACGCATACAGGGTTACCCACAAAGGATGAGACTTAAGAGAAGATTTATACGATCTGTTTCCTTATATTCACGATTACCTTCAAATGTAAACTTGTTTCTTTTTTTGCCAAATCATTATAAAAGCAATTACTTTACTTGATTTAACCTAATTTATCGTCACATTTTCGGTCGTCTTTACAATCTCATCCTTTGAGGGCAACCCTGTAGCGGACTCAAGATAATTAGATAAATAATTGCTACATAGTTTGAGAATGATCAGTTTCTGATTTTTTTGTAAATTGATTAATGATACTAAAACATTGAATTGAATTTTACTTTACCTCTCAGGCTCTCAACTACTTTTGTTCTTGCTTAAATTGAAGTACAAATACTACAATACAATGATAATAATAATACAATTTTAATACAATAAATAGCTTAACGATACTTGCTGACATAAATTTGGGTAAAACCTTTGTTTTATAGCCAAATTGATTAATTATATACCTACTGACATAGCTTTGATGTATAGCTTATTAGCTTAATGATACTTGCTGACATAACTATGCCTAATAGCTAAATAGCGTAAAGATACTTACAGATATAACTGTGTTTAATAGCTAAATATTTTAATGATACTGGCTGATATAACAGTGTTTTAAACCTAAATTGCTTAATGCTGACATAATTGTGTTTTATAGCTTTAATGATAATCACTGAGATAACATAGTTTTATAGCTTGTTAGTTATAGGCTAATGTTAGATATTGTCATAATTGTGTGTAATAGCATAATAGCTAAATAGTTCAACCTGATATATAACTTTATTTTATAGCAAACTAGATTTAATTATACTTACTGACAAAGCTGTGTATTAAAGCTATAGTAGGTTAATGATACTACTGACATAGCTATGTCTAAAAGATAAAAAGCTTTTAATTTCTCTTACTTCACTTTAATAAATGTTTGATGAAGAGAATTTGATTTCACCATGTTGTACTAGCTGTACAATTCATAGATGAAATTGAACTTAATATTTTGGCCCCCTTCCTGTATTAGTAGAACCCTGGAGAAGGATGAATATACACAGGAAACTTGATTGCAAACATAAACATGTACTGTACACACTGTACACCGTACTGCAGTTTTCCCTGAGCCAGATTTAGGTCTCAGTTAACGAAAGTCTGCTTGGTAAATCAGAATTAATATTCAGCTCCAGCTATCTTTCTGAGGTTCTGTCCGTCCACGTACGTTCACCTAAATTCAACTAGCCATGAGCCAGCCAAGAAAGAATCTTTTAAATGGACGGAATAATTTCACATTTTTCTTGAAGGAACGAAATGCGAAATTAACGGCGAAACAAACTTTTTTCACTAAAAATGCTAAACGTCATCTATTTTTTGCTAGAAACCCTAGTACAGGGGTTTCTGAGTTATGATCGGACAAATAAACAGGCAGACAGAAATTACAACTTTATATATTTATAGAACCGAAAGTATTAAAAATCGAATTATATAGTTTCTTTTTTTTGTGTTTATTTGTTTGTTAAACAATCAAGTCATCATAACTCGATGAAGAAACTTTCTTTTTATTGTATAATTAACAAATACATCTGTAATTTAGAAAAATTTTTGTTATGTGTTCTCAAAAAGCAAATATTCCAATTTTATAAGGTTCATTAATGCAGATCAACTTTTTTTGTAGTCCCTAAAATTGCGGGGAATATTTTTTTAATTGTTTGAAATTTCTTTAATCATTGAGTTTAACTTTTAATGAATTTTAAACAAAAGATTTTGTTTTTTGTTGATTTAAAATGAAAACCATTTCCTTCGTCAGCGAATAATGTTATTTTTGTTTAAGCAAAAAATTATTTTTTTTTATTGTAAATATAAATTTACCTACAGGGTGTCCCACGAAACATGACAGTAAGAATTCGAGTTGAATTTCGTCTTTGAGTTTTGATAAACTTTCTGAATTTTTTGTCAACCTAATTTTAGAAGTAAATTTCTAGAGTCAATTTAATTGCCCTTTTTGTACTTTCAATATTACCCGAAATATGAAGTTACTATGCTTTTAGGGCGCTTCGCGCCCGTCTTCTATTTCAACTTTTAAGTGTCGCTTTATCTGTGAGCATCTTCTCTTTCACAGTATAGAAAAAAAAAGTTTGCGGATTTCACATTATTTTTTCGCGCATTTTCAAAATTTTACAAAATAAAAAACTTGTAAGCACAAATCTTTAAAATTTTCATCATTCCTAAACCTTCCCTCGGGCCACGTAAGGTCCTGCACAAAATTTGGGCCCGATCGGTTCAGCCGTATTGACGTTTATTGGATACAAACAAACAGGTACCCCAGCTAAATTTATATTTAGATTTCGTTCAGAGTTTGACAATTTTTTTTATTTAACAAAATTGAGATCTGAACGGAATTCTTAATATCTCCGGAAATATTGACAGCACAAACGGCAGATCACATTTTGGAAATGCCAGGACTAGGAGACCTTTGTGGTAAATGCTTTAAGAATCAAACATGTTAATGTAAGTTGGCGACTGAATGTCACAAATAATTTTTAAAACATCTAAAACAACTTTAATGTCGTCTTACTACTGATATATTTCGTGTGACACCCTGTATAATAAAGTTTTTGCTTCCTCATAAGTCGCTGTAGCTGGCAAAACAGCTTAGCCTTTACAAAATAGGCTAATCTTTATTGGGGGAACGAATGGGTACTTCGTGTTGCGGGGGAGGGGTGAATAGTCTAAAAAAGTATAGATTTTTGTATTCCATGGGCAACCCAGGCACTGTCTAAATCAAGTGCGGGTAAACGGCGTGATTAACCTGGGGAACGCCATGCAACTCGGCTAGTTAGTCACAATTTTTAGAAAAAAATTAACACATTAGAAAAATAAAAAAGAATCCCTTCAATGTCATTTTCATTTTTCATTTAAAGCAAGGAAAGAGCGTTTAACTACTCAATTAATATTACTTGGAATGTTTTTAAAAATATTTTCCAGTTTTTATAAATTTCTGGTGCTTTAAAGTCATTTTCTCTCTGCTTTCCTAAGGTTCACACTACCTACAGCTCGGGACAAATTATAATCTTTAAAGGCTTGATCTTTCTCGATTGAGAGAATAGTTCTGTCAAAAACTTTAGATCACTGCAAACCTAGATAATATTGTCATAAATACGAAACAGGTAATTATTTCTTCTTGATAATGAAAACTGAAAGTTTTTCGTAAATTTATTTTAAACCTTAACATTCATGTGTCGTCTTGATATGAATTGCTTTAGAGTTAGTTTTTGAAATCAGAATTACACGTATAAGTCAAGCCTGCATATTAAAATTGACATAAATGGAAAATATGTAAAATTTATTTGTTAATTTACGGCCCTGACTTCCTGAACACTTAATATTTTATAAAATAAGACGACATTCAAATTAGTATGTGCAATACTGACTTTTCCCTTTCCACCATTTCCCTCTCTCGTCTCTTCTATATATAATCCTATGATTTTCTGACACTCCTTTCTAACAACCCCCCTCTCCATCTCCATCCCCTACTAGTTGTCCGAAACACATACTTTTTATTTGCGACCAGTTGGCAAAGAATTGGTAAGAATAATTTTAAACCTTCAGGTAGAGTCAATTTTTTATTTTGTGTGCGTACAATTCTTAAATGTTTTTTTTATGGAGAGAAATAACCTGAAAGTTTTCTGACCAAAAATATATTTTCTCTCTTAAAAACGTTGTTAACGAAGGGTTGTCGTTTAAAGAAGTTAATGAAGGTATTTTTTCCAACAGTATCGTTTTTAAAAAAGAACCCTTTTTCCAAGAACGATTTTTTAAAGATTGCATAAAAACGATCGTTTCGTTTTCGCTTTTTCTTCGTCGTTTCATAAACTAAACGTTTGTTTTCCATATATTTTGAAAATATTTTTTTTTGGTCCTACTAGTGATTTTTATCTTTAATTTTGCAAAAATGGCTGCGCTTTTGCCATTTTATATTGTTTATTATTTTTTTTGTGAGGTTTTTAGAATATTTAGGCGTAGGTATTTTACTAGGCTTGTTCCAAAATCGACTTACCATATTGCCTGCCCCTCCCCCTTTTGTGTGATAATATTTTTTTTAATAAAAGCCTAATAATTGTCCAGTATATCTTTGTTTTCTCTTTTCTTGCTTCTGAATGTTGTTTATTTGTTCTGTTGAAGAAATATTATAATTAGGATTTTTTTATTTTTCTTATTGTTATAACACTAAATGATATGTCAAACAATTTGCGTTTCGAGGTGGGCATACCTTGCAGGAATACATGAGGGATCAATCATTGATCAACAAAATTCAAAATGCCCTCATTCGAGATCAAGCGTTCAAAATTAATGATACTCCACAAAAATGTTCCGATATCAGTGTCCGAATTTAATGAAATCAAGCCGCGTTTAAAATCCGCCAAAAACCGGTTTTAATTGAGCGCCGGCTTAATCTTTAAACAATGAATACGATGTTAAGTGGAACCAACCATGTTTGAGTCGCTGCTTAAATTTAAGCCGCGGCTCAAATTCTTTTAGTTCGGCCTCAGGACACATTTAAGACAAAGAAGTTTGCAAAAACAATCCTGCCTTTAAAAAAATTAACTTAAGTTAAAAATTTTTTTTGAAAATGAATGATATTTTTATTATGTTAGATGTACAAATACAATTTAAAGTTTATCTAGATTCTTCAAAACGATTTGTCGGTTTTCATTTGATTTCGAGTAAATTGGATAGTCGGTAACATTGTACTTTTTAACAATATCTTCTCGAATAAACAAATCGTTTTGCTCAAGTCCTGTTATTTCGTTTTTCTCCATCCTGTGAGGGTATCTTCTGTATCCTTTAGACTCTATCAAGGCTCGGATTGAAGCCTAAAAGGAAAAAGTATTTTTTTCATAAAAGTAAATATCCTAAATTGGCATTTTTTTAATCATATTTTTTTTGTACCGTAGATTCATATTGGAGCATGGATTAAACATGAAAATAAAGTTTGAAATGAAAAAAAAATTACAATTTTATATAAAATCCAATTTATTTTCCTGGCATTTTACTTTACAATATACGTAACATAATACTATTTTATACAAACTTTTATTCAGGTGGTTTTAATAGCTAATCACCTCTGAATATCATATATACAATTGGACACCAGTTAAGCAATCTGCTGTGGATATTATGTTGTTAAAAAGTATGTGGCTGTAGCTTGTAAATCAGCTTTAAATGAATTGTTAACACTGCTAAATTGCTGTGTTTCATGTTGATTGAACTATATTTAATACCAAAACTTCATGTTAACAGTGGTCTTCCTATTAAACAGTTTAATATCCCTCTGTATAGAAATTTTTTTTCAGAAGTTAATGCATGCAAATAGGGAATACAACAGGGCGTGGTGCAGTGCATTAAGTTGCTTTGTTTTTGTCAATTTTTTCTTTCAAAATTTGCCAAAGTTTGAACCTCACAACAAAACGAACCAAGAACGAACTTAAAAATACTTATCATTTCTGGATCGTTATTCCATTTCTTCATGATATAAACATTGATATGTATAATAAAATCAAACTTTACCATAGTATGTTTTTTACATCAATTGGAAGTTTTATCAAACATGTTCTTTAACAACTATTAACACCACTTCTGACAGTACACACACTTAAAACAGTATTTCTAAGGCCCCCCCCCCTTACCTGAGACTGTGAACCCCCAGATATAGATTTCCCGACCAAATCTGTCTCTACTGTCATTATTTCTATATCTACCTAAGATAAATAAAAATTCAAATTTTTGTTTATCATCAAAAGTTTTTATTATAAATAATAATTGTTTTGATTCCTTAATTAAATATAGGCTTACAATGCAGTCTTTTTTTATTTGCAAAGGAAACAAAATATTAATTACTACCGCGTTTTTTGTAGTGGTTGGGGGGTTTAGGGGGGGGGGGGTAGGGTAAACAAGAGGAAAGGCCTTTTAAATAGCGAAAAGTATAATTAAATTTGATTTTACCCTCCTCTTGATTTTGAAGTCTCGTTCGTATGTTTGTTAGTGTAAGCCTAATTAAGATGTATCTTAAGCATAATCCGTATATAATTTTTAAACAGGGGCAAACTGAAGTCTCGTCCGTATGTTTGCCAGTGTAAGCCTATTTAAGATGTATCTTAAGCATAATCCGTATTTAATTTTAAAACAGGGGCAAACTGAAGTCTCGTCCGTATGTTTGCCAGTGTAAGCCTAATAAAGATGTATCTTAAGCATAATCCGTATTTAATTTTAAAACAGGGGCGTACTGAAGTCTCAGCTAAGGGGGTAGGGACGGTGGGTTGGTGGGGGGAAAGTGGGTACAATGACAGAATCTTTTTTATATTTTTGGATGAAGTACAGTGGTAATTGAAAACTCTAAAATAGGAAGACGACTTTTAAACTTAAGTTAGGACTTTAACTAGTTCAATGAACATTAGACATGGCAATTGTACAGCGTAAATAGACCCTTTTCGCTTAAGTTATGCTTTGCTAAGTTACTAAAAAAATATTTGCTTTGTTTTCTGGTTATCACTGTATTTATATCCAACCTTGTCCCAGGGCAGTGTTTCTAGAATCAGCTGTTCTGCTCCCTCAACATCCAGGATTAGAAGATTTATCACAGGGTTGCCTTAACATTAGAAAATTTATATAAAGTGTAAAAGAATTGAGTCTTCACCACAAATGCAAATTTTCTAAACACTATTTGCAATTCCTAATAGTGTAAACCTTTGATATTTTAAACTTAGGTTAATTAATCTTGAACTTATAGCTTAAAACATCAAAGGGTTCCGACATTTGATTGCAAAGATTTTTAGAAGCATTTTTGCACAAAAATTTCCCACTGTAACTGATAGTTTGCCACTAACTCTAAATTCTTGATCTCGATATCTTTGAAACCTCATGGGGGAAACCGTTTATATATATATACCAAATTTTAACTAACTGATCCAGCAGAATTCAAAGTATTAAATATCATAGTTATCATAGCAGCAGGTGTCAACTTTTCAAGTAGATAATTAAATCCAAATTTAAGTTTGAGGCGAATAATCAGTTCTCTGATGTACTTTCCTTGAACTACTGTATATTAAGTTAAAACAATTAAGATATAATCTGATTTATATTTACCTAAGGCTTTAATAATACTATAAAGTGGAAAACACTGCATCTGCATTGAGAACTCATGAGGATTACTGCTCAATCCTCCCATAGAATACAATCCCTTTCCTCTAGATAATGAATATATAAAATACAATCCTTTCCTCTAGATAATGCATAGAATACAATCCCTTTCCTCTAGATAATACATATATAGAATACAATCCATTTCCTCTAGATAATACATAGAATACAATCCCTTTCCTCTAGATAATACATATATAGAATACAATCCTTTTCCTCTAGATAATACATATATAGAATACAATCCCTTTCCCTTAGATAATACATATATAGAATACAATTATATTCCCCTTGATAATACATATATAGAATACAATCCCTTTCCCTTAGATAATACATATATAGAATACAATTATATTCCCCTTGATAATACATATATAGAATACAATCCCTTTCCCTTAGATAATACATATTTAGAATACAATCCATTTCCTCTAAATAATTCATAGAATACAATCCCTGTCCTCTAGATAATACATATATAGATTAAAATCCCTTTCCTCTAGATAATACAAATATAGAATACAATCCATTTCCTCTAGATAATACATATACAGAATAAAATCCTTTTCCTCTTGATTATACAAATATAGAATACAATCCCTTTCCTCTAGATAATACATATATAGAATACAATCCTTTTCCTCTTGATAATACATATATAGAATACAATCCCTTTCCTCTAGATAATGCATAGAATACAATCCCTTTCCTCTTGATAATACATATATCGAATACAATCCCTTTCCCTTAGCTAATACATATATATGATTTCCGATCATAACTCAAAAACCCCTGGACCGATTTGCCTCAAATTTTGATTGGGAAAAAAAAGAGAATTGTTGGGAATGTTTTTAGATTGGTTAAAAAAAATCTGATTTGAGTGGGTCGACTCATGTATACAAATACATTAATGCAAATTGTTGTAAATCCGCAACTTTTTTGTTCGAAATCTGCAAAACCACATTTTATCTGACCATGGCGGCACAGTTACAGTTCAAATATAACGCCAACCTTTCAGTTTGAAATTCTTTTTCTAAGAAACCCTCAGTTTCAAAAATAGCGCCAACCGATTCCCCTGGTTCTAAAAGTCTGAAAAATTATGCTAAGTACATCTCCTCAAACAGGGGGAAGCCCATTCTTATTGAATAAATAGCCATGAATATCGACTCATGCATAAATTGAGCAGTAATTAGTATAACTGTAACCTTATTATACAATTTTAATAAATTAAAAGATATAATTTTTAAAAAGTCAAAATAAATTTTGCAAGATTTTTTTTTTGGATGAAACTCTTAAGTTAGTGTAGTTTGGATGAAACGTGAGCTGGGTGAAATGTATTTTAGGCGAAACGTGAATTGGGTGAAGCATTATTTTGTGTGAAACGTTATTGGGTGAAACGTTTTGGGTGAAACGTGATTGGGTGAAACGTTATTGGGCGAACTGTTACCACACCTACATATATAGAATAAAATCCCTTTCCTCTAGATAATACATATACAGAATACAATGCCTTTCCTCTAGATAATACATATACAGAATACCATTCCTTTCCCCTAGATAATACATATATATAATACAATACCTTTCCTCTAGATAATACATATATAGAATACAATCCTTTTCCTCTAGATAATACATATATAGAATACAATCCCTTTCCTCTAGATAATACATATATAGAATACAATCCCTTTCCTCTAGATAATGCATATATAGACTACAATCCCTTTCCTCTAGATAATACATATATAAAATAAAATCCCTTTCCTCTAGATAATACAAATACAGAATACAATCACTTTCTTGTAGAAAATACAAATATAGAATACAATCCCTTTCTTGTAGATAATACAAATATAATACAATCCCTTTCCCCTCTAAAATACTAATATAGCATACAATCCCTGTAGTTTTTTTTTACATAATTCAAAAAGTATTGGTCTGAAGCTGTTGAAATGTTGAAACTGCCTGAGTCCTCAGGCACACTGCCTGAATGACTGTCTCCTATAAAGAACTAAATCTTTGCTTTGACCCCATTTCAGTTGTCATATTTGATAATTTTTTGAAAGCCTATGATACAAGGAAGCAGATTGTAGAAGTTCAGCAAAAAATGCAAAAGAAATTTCTGTATTTTCAGTTTTTCCTAAAAAAGACATCAGGTTATTTATAATTTTGCATAAATGTTTGCATATTTGAAGGAATTTTTTGCAAACACTTTTTCTGCAGTTAAGTTCAAATACAAAGAGACTCAGAACTCGGGGGTCATGTGAGGTCCCACACAAAAATTTGGGCCCAATATGTTCAGCCGTTTTTACGTTTATTGGATACAAACACCCACCCAGGACAAGTAAAGTATGCATAGATTTAGTTTAAAGTATACCTAACAGCAGAAACCATATCAAACATTCCAAAATGTGGAGTCTTCTCAACTGCTAGGCAGGTGTGAATCTATTAAAAAATTAAGTTTGTGGATTTAGTAAAGACACTGTTTTTTTCCAATCACTGTTTCCATGTATCGACCAATATCAACGATTAATATGAGGCCCTTTAATCAGAGGGGGTGAATTGTAGTTGCAACTTGCAATGCAACCCCATTTTTTATGACAATTGGTAATAACTGTTCTTAATATTATACGGAGATCTCTTAAAGAATTACTTTTGAAGATCCTAGATCCTGATTAGCAACAGTCTTATACTTTATTCAATTTATTGTTAGAGAAGAAATCGTGCATCAACTTTTTAATGTTTTGCTTTTATGACAGAGAACAAATTTAGCACAGTGTTATATAAGGAAACTTCTTTAGGGTCAAACATTTTGAAATATGATAAAATTTTTAGATTCTTATAGAACACTTTGGAAGTAAAAAACATCCCTTTCATTAATATTTACCCATAGAGAATAGAATATATATTAGAGGGGAATTTAATGAATCTCTCGGAATGAATTTTTTCAGTCCCTTTCAGCCTGAAAGGGAGTTCAAAGTGTTGCAAATCATGTAAATGTTCACAAATTATATGCAGTAGAGTACATCAATACAGTATGTTACTTAGACTATTCATTTCAATTTCGAATTTTTAAACTGTTAAATAAACTTTATAATGAATTAGGTGAATAAAAAAACATCATTTGATTTATATAGTTATAATGGAAAATCATCGTTTGTAAAGTAAAAGGCATAGAGTCTATGTGAAATGATCATTGGTCAATTATAAAACCAGCCTATTTCATAATTTGGTTTTCTTTTAACAATAATTTTAGATTTTCTATAAAATGATATTCCAGGGCCCAAAAGGTTATATAGCATAAATATGTGAAGTACACCTGCAGTATGGAAACAGTAAAACAAAATGGCCGTTTTACACTTTTTCTAGTAAATTCCCCTCTAATATATATTCTATTCTCTTTGTATTTACCTGATAAGATTTTCTATTTAATTCTAAACTATGAGTGTAGAGCCAAACATCAGCCTCCACCAGAACACCAGTCCAATTATGAACCAATTCAAATTCTAGAAATGTTAAGAAAAATGAAAATAATATTTTCTGTTTTTTTGTATTTGCCTTTTCATATTTAATTTAATCAAATTGTTATCATTAACTGTATCCCGATTGGGCTATTGTTGTCTATAAGGATGGGGCCGGGGGGGGGGGGGAAATATTTAAACTTTGTCCGATGTTTTTAAATAAATAATTACATTTCTTGAAATTTATAAAACTTTTTTTTTTTACTTCTTTTGCATTCACACCCTTTAAATATTGAATGGTTGGAAAAATTAAAGTAAATTTCAGATCAGATCGATATTTTTACCCATTTTAAATTATAATTTCTAATCTTAAGAAAAAAAATCTGAATTTAGATATATTTGCTTTTCTCATACTAGAGAAGCTTTGAGGTCGCGAATTGTACCAAAAATTTTACATATATTTCTATAGGACGAAAGAAATCCAAACCTATAATCTAAATTAAATTTTCAAAAAAATTTTCAAAAAAAAGTGTGTTGAAAAAATTACCGAAAGACATAGAATTTATTCCGTCATGTGAACCTGCCTCCAGATAGAAACCATTTCGAGGAACTTGGTTTTTGTAAACTGAAAAAAAGAACATTTAAAGAAACTGTGACTCATACACTCTACACACTGTAGGTAGAAACCATTTTGTAAACTGAAAACCAAACAACGTAGGGACTGCTAGTGACCCTCCGGCCTCCACCATGTACAGGGATGAGACAGTACATCACATTATAAACTCTTTATATATGACGATCCGTAAACTAGTTTAAATTAAGTCTTATGCCTTAAATATGTTTTTTCAATGGCTTAATGATTAATTTGTCAACATCAAGAAAAGAAGTTTTCCCTTGCAGTGAATCACAAATAAAGGAATGAAACCGTATTTAATTGTTCTTGAAGTCTCATCCTTTGCGGGTAATCATGTACATACTATATATAATTTAAAGTGAAATTTCGTAACATAGTGACCCTTCAATGTCTTCTTGTTAGTTTGTCAAGTTAGTTTGTCAGGTTAGTTTGTCAGGTTAGATTGTGAGGTTAGTTTGTCAGTTCAGTTTGTCAGGTTAGTTTTTCAGGTTAGTTTGTCAGGTTAGTTTGTCAGGTTAGTTTGTCAGGTTAGTTTGTCAGGTTAGTTTGTCAGGTTAGTTTGTCAGGTTAGTTTGTCAGGTTAGTTTTTCAGGTTAGTTTGTCAGGGTAGTTTGTCTGGTTTGTTTGTCAGGTTAGTTTATTGAGTTAGTTTGTCAGTTTAATTTGTCAGGTTAGTTTTTCAGGGTAGTTTGTCTGGTTTGTTTGTCTGGTTAGTTTATCAAGTTAGTTTGTCAGGTTAGTTTGTCAGGTTATTAAATGAGGATTAATTAAAGTCACAAACTAAAATTATCAACTCTCGATAGTTTTGCATCTTGTGTGTAAACCTTTTATATTTCTGTTGTTTTCAGGAATAATTCAAAAAAGGTGAACAGTCCCTTGAATATCCTGAGGGATCTAGATATGAGTCAGTACAACCCGAGCAGTAACAGTAGACACAAGTCTCCAACACATTAACCAAGACATTTCCCATGACATTAACACTCTGCGGTCTGTGCTACATACAGTGCACAGAACTTATTAGTATTACAGTGTTCCTACACAACATGAGAAGACTGAGGTTGGTGATTAGAAATCCAGCCCACATTGGAGGCTCTGAAGATGATGATGATAATGAGATTGATCCCATGCACTAAGCTCCTTTGGAGAGTTGCTTAGCTCCATTTGTTACAGCTCTTGCAGGGGACGAGGACGAGGACGAGGACATGTCTAAGGGCGGAAGTATTCCTAGCCTAGAGAATGATCAATTATCAGAAGAAGATATCCCTGGAATACTGAGACTATCTACTCTTACTCAATCAGATGATGAAGAGGTAAAGCAGTTTCTGAAGGATATAGGTTCCGATGACGAGGACAGCCTCCGACCTGTAAAGGATGGAGATGAGAGACCAGATCATACTCCCTGCATTTGGGACCCACCTGGAAACCTTTAGGAGAAAGAGTATCAGTTTCCTCATTCTATAAAGGAGGAGATCATGACCCGTCTGTTCCGCCTGGTCTGGGACTTGCTCAAGTACCTAGAGGAGCTCAACAGGAAGCCAACCCCTTGGAATGACGAGGATGATATCCTGGTTGAAGGACTCAACAATATCCTGGTAATGGAGGTAAAACTCTTGCGGATTAATCAACTATTCGAGGTCTCAAGAGATCTTGTCAATGATCCTAAATAAGGATCCATGATATTATGTTCATCATATTAATAAAAGTAATTAAATGAGTAATCAATTTGTAACTGAATTATATCTATATCTTAGTTAAATATATATATGTACAAATTTTATGTTAGTATTTAATTGAGAACGTTTAGGTTTAAACAAAACAGAGTAGGTAGTTTTGGATTGATCCTTCATATAATTGACCTGCCTAAGTATATATTAGTTATGATCTTGCGCGATACAACATTCCAAACTGTAATTAATTGATCTAACAGAGGAAATCATAAAAAAGATCTACGACACTTCTGGTTATAATTGGATTTAATTGGGTTAGAAAATTAGAGAATGCGGTAATTATTTATTTGCTATTTCTTAATTTGTTTTCTTTACAGGCTCATTATAATTGCGGTTGTTGTTGTTGTTGTTGATGTTGTTGTTGTTTTTGCTGCTGTTGTTGTTGTTTTTGTTGTTGTTGTTGTTGTTGTTGTTGTTGTTGTTGTTGTTGTTGTGTTATTGTTGTTGTTATTATTATTGTTGTTGTTGTTGTTTTTGTTGTTGTTTTATTGTTGTTGCTGTTGTTGTTGTTACCTAGTTCTGTTATATCCACAACTTGTTCGTTTCGCGTTATTTCATAAGCAGTGTCAGAATTCACCTCCATACCATTCAAATATAGAAGCTTGTTGTTTGGAGGCCTAATACCAAGGTTATATAGATACTAAATAGGTCAGGGAAGATATTTTAAATTATTCAGTTAATTATTCTGAGTTTTAGAGAATCTGACGACATATGCAAACACAAAATTGTATAAAACTGTGAGCTCTAGGGCTTGATGGCTAGTTAAGATGATGTTAGGTATACTTCCCTAATAGGATTTTCCCAAACCGCTAACTTCCCAATATTATTTTCTAAAGTGGCAACTTCCCATATAAGTGCAATTTCCCAAACGGCAACTTCTGAAGTATTTTCTAAGCCTCAGAGCTTAGCTAACTACCCAGATATAGCCGCTGCACTCAGCCCCCTAGCCCATCCTAGCTGCAGCGGTTTGGAAAGTATATCAAACACCAAGGTATAACTGTGAAAGCTCACATTTCATTTTGAATTTTGGAAAATTTGAATAGATTGCTTGTTCTATCTAAATAATCTTTGCCTGATATACTCGTCTCTGATCAAGTCTGTTAGGCGGTCATCCTCCTGGTTCAAACAGTTGAGGTAAGGTCTAATACAAACAGTTAAAGTAGGGTATAAAATAAACAGTTGAGGTATAGGTCTAATACAAATAGTTCAGTTAGGGTCTAATTCAAACAGTTCAGGTTTGGACGAATACAAACAGTTGCGTTAGGGTCTAATATAAACAGTTGAGGTATAGGTCTAATACAAATAGTTCAGTTAGGGTCTAATTCAAACAGTTGAGGTTGGGTTAAATACAAACGGTTGAGGTAGGGTATAATACTAACAGTTGAGGTTTGGTCTAATTCAAACAGTTGAGGTTGGGTCTAATACAAACAGTTAAGTTAGGGTCTAATATAAACAGCTGAAGTAGGATCTAATACAAACAGTTGAGGTAGGGTCTAATATAAACAGTTAAATTAGAGTCTAATACAAACAGTTGAGGTAAGGTCTAATTCAAACAGTTGAGGTTGGGTCTAATACAAACAGTTAAGTTAGGGTCTAATATAAACAGCTGAAGTAGGATCTAATACAAACAGTTGAGGTAGGGTCTAACATAAACAGTTAAATTAGGGTCTAATACAAGCAGTTGAGGTAAGGTCTAATGCAAACAGTTGAGGTAAGGTCTAATACAAACAGTTGAGGTAAGGTCTAATGCAAACAGTTGAGGTAGGTTCTAATACAAACAGTTGAGGTAGGTTCTAATACAAACATTTGAGGTAGGGTATAATATAAACAGTTAAGGTAATGTATAATATAAAAAGTTTAGCTAGGTAAAATACAAACAGTTGAGGTAGGGTATAATATAAACAGTTGAGGTAGGGATATAATATAAACAGTTTAGGTAGGGTATAGTATAAACAGTTGAAGTTGGGTCTAATTCAAACAGTTGAGGTTGGATATAATACAAACAGTTGAGGTAGGATATAATATAAACAGTTGATGTAGGTCTAATATAAACAGTTGATTTAGGTATAATATAAACAGTTGAGGTAGGATATAATATAAACAGTTGAGGTAGGTCTGATATAAACAGTTGATATAGGTATGATATAAACAGTTGAGGTAGGGTATAATATAAACAGTTGAGGTAGTGTATAATATAAACAGTTGAGGTAGGGTTCTAATATAAACAGTTGAGGTAGGTTCTAATATAAACAGTTTAGGTAGGGTATAGTATAAACAGTTGAAGTTGGGTCTAATTCAAACAGTTGAGGTTGGATATAATACAAACAGTTGAGGTAGGATATAATATAAACAGTTGATGTAGGTCTAATATAAACAGTTGATATAGGTATGATATAAACAGTTGAGGTAGGGTATACTATAAACAGTTGATGTAGGTCTAATAAAAACAGTTAATGTAGGTCTAATATAAACAGTTCAGGTAGGGTATAATACAAACAGTTGAGGTTGGGTATTATACAAACAATTGAGGTAGGGTATAATACAAACAGTTGAGGTTGGGTATAATATAAACAGTTGAGGTTGGGTATAATATAAACAGTTGAGGTAGGGTATAATATACACATTTGAGGTTGGGTATAATACAAACAGTTGAGGTAGGGTATAATACAAACAGTTGAGGTAGGGTATAATACAAGCAGTTGAGGTAGGGTATAATACAAAACGTTGAGGTAGGGTATAATACAAACAGTTGAAGTAGGGTATAATACAAGCGCGCAGTTGAAGCAGGGTATAATACAAACAGTTGAGGTAGGTTCTAATATAAACAGTTGAGGTAGGGTATAATACAAGCAGTTGAGGTAGGGTATGATATAAACAGTTGAGGTAGGTTCTAATATAAACAGTTGAGGTAGGGTATAATATAAACAGTTGAGGTAGCAATACGAGCAGTTGAGGTAGGGTATAATACAAACAGTTGAGGTAGGGTATAATATAAACAGTTGAGGTAGGGTATAATATAAACAGTTGAGGTAGCTTCTATTATAAACAGTTGAGGTAGGGTACAATACGAGCAGTTAAGGTAGGGTATAATACAAACAGTTGAGGTAGGGTATAATATAAACAGTTGAGGTAGGGTATAATATAAACAGTTGAGGTAGAGTATAATATAAACAGTTGAGGTAGCTTCTATTATAAACAGTTGAGGTAGGGTATAATACAAGCAGTTGAGGTAGGGCATAATACAAACAGTTGAGGTAGGGTATAATATAAACAGTTGAGGTAGCTTCTATTATAACAGTTGAGGTAGGGTATAATATAAACAGTTGAGGTAGGGATATAATATAAAAAGTTCAGGTAGGTATAATACAAACTGTTGAGGTAGGGTATAATATAAACAGTTGAGGTAGGGTTCTAATATAAACAGTTGAGGTAGGTTCTAATATAAACAGTTGAGGTAGGGTATAGTATAAACAGTTGAAGTTGGGTCTAATTCAAACAGTTGAGGTTGGATATAATACAAACAGTTGAGGTAGGATATAATATAAACAGTTGATGTAGGTCTAATATAAACAGTTGATTTAGGTATAATATAAACAGTTGAGGTAGGGTATAAAATAAACAGTTGATGTAGGTCTAATATAAACAGTTGAGGAAGCGTATAATATAAACAGTTAATGTAGGTCTAATATAAACAGTTGATGTAGGTCTAATATAAACAGTTCAGGGAGGGTATAATACAAACAGTTGAGGTTGGGTATAATACAAACAATTGAGGTAGGGTATACTACAAACAGTTGAGGTTGGGTATAATATAAACAGTTGGGGTTGGGTATAATACAAACAGTTGAGGTTGGGTATAATATAAACAGTTAAGGTAGGGTATAATACGAACAGTTAAGGTAGGGTATAATATAAACAGTTGAGGTAGGGTATAATATAAACATTTGAGGTTGGGTATAATACAAACAGTTGAGGTAGGGTATAATACAAACAGTTGAGGTAGGGTATGATATAAACAGTTGAGGTAGGTTATAATATAAACAGTTGAGGTAGGGTATAATATAAACAGTTGAGGTAGGGTATAATATAAACAGTTGAGGTAGGGTATAATATAAACAGTTGAGGTAGCTTCTATTATAAACAGTTGAGGTAGGGTATAATACAAGCAGTTGAAGTAGGGTATTATACAAACAGTTGAGGTAGGGTATAATATAAACAGTTGAGATAGGGTATAATATAAACAGTTGAGGTAGGTTATAATACAAACAGTTGAGGTAGGGTATAATATAAACAAGGTAGGGTATAATATAAACAGTTGAGGAAGGATATAATATAAACAGTTGAGGTAGGGTATAATATAAACAGTTCAGGTAGGTATAATATAAACACTTTGTTAAACTAATTTGTAATAATCAAGCAGAAGTTCCCTCCCCACTTTTAAAAATATTAACTTTTCTGAAAATTTATTTTTCCGGAAAAAGAAAGATTGTCAATTTTTTCTTTTTTTTCTTTTTCAAAACGCTTTAGAAACTTTAGAAACTTATTATTAATCTCAAAATCTACTCTGATACAACATACAGGGTGTATCACGAAACATGACAGTTTTTAATGTCGTCTTCCATACACTGTATTAGATATTAAAGGCTATTTGCAGTTTATTTCATTTAAAAAATCTTTTGCTCAAATATATGTTACTTTAAAATTAATTTTACAATAATATGTAATATTTGTATTATTGTTCTTGATATTTAACAACTTAACAAATTATGGAAGGAGACATCCTAAACTATTTACCAACTGTCATGTTTCATGGAACACCTTGAAGTTACCTGTAAATAAAGGGTCCTTTAATTTTCGACCCATCCTCCGAGAATTGAACTAACTCTGCAGCTCGCATATCTTTATTAAGATCCAACTAAAATAAAGTTGAAATTTTTAAACTCTAGTTTTATATTTGTCACAAGAGGAAAGTTGGAACACGTCACAAATTTCCTTTTCCCGGATTTTTGCATAAACTGAAGGCTGAACTCCAACCTTCGAGTGTGTGAGGTGGGGAAGACTTCACTGCCGCGCTTAATTAAAAGCATGATTAAGAGGGATGACATTTGTAGATCGAGATTGAATCCTAGCCGCAGCGCTCGGTCCAGAGAGTGTCATAACTTAACCTAACCTGAGGCCGCAGCGCTCGGCCCAGAAAGTGTCTTAACCTAACCTATCCCTAAATAAATAATAATTTAATTGAAAATTGTCGAAAAAGTGTTCATGTACAAAAGTAAAATCTGCAGTGAAGTCTTCCCCACCTCGCACACTCGCAGGTTGGAGTTCAGCTTCAGCCTAAACTGAATCGTGTGAAATCAAAGACGACATTCAAATCCTCTTCTTCTTAGAATGACTGAGGCTTCTAAATGAACATTGAACCAGGGCCGTCCTAATGTCGTACTTTAGAACATAACAGTTTGGCCGCTATATAGCTTAGTATTAATACTTTCTTCAATCAATTCGTTTAGTTCAGATTTAAAATGTCAAGATTATTTTGTTATGATAAAGCATATAGATTAACGAAATTGAAAAAGGAGTTTTTTTTTCAATCGTTTTTTCCCTTGGGAACAAACTTTGAGTGTTTCAAGATTTAATTAAACAAACAGAGAAGCTCAGTAATATTATCATTATAATTAAACAAACAGAGAAGCTCAGTAACATTATCATTATAATTAATTAAACAGAGAAGCTCAGTAATATTATCATTATAATTAATTAAACAGAGAAGCTCAGTAATATTATCATTATAATTAATTAAACAGAGAAGCTCAGTAATATTATCATTATAATTAAACAAACAGAGAAGCTCAGTAATATTATCATTATAATTAATTAAAATTCAGAATTAGTTCACCTTGTCTGTGCTTGAGCACTTTGGTAGATCGTGTACTGTAATATTACCAACAGGTGGCTCCTCTAAACATTTGAGCGTATCTTTATTTATTTATACATGAAAAATATCATTGTTTTTAATATTTTAACTTCTGAGACAATATTACATCTATTCTTTTGTTTTTTTAAATAAGTAAATGTTAAATCTGTAGCTCAAAAAAGGAAATAAGTTTTGAAATATCTTAATTTTTTTTAAGCAATTAAATCATTTAACATCAAACAAATGTATAAAAAACTGTCTCGATTGACGATTAAACTAACATTTACATTTGTATACCAAATTATCAGCTCAATACAAAATTACCTGCACTACAATTTGGATGCGACTTTAGACACAATTGTTATGAATATATATTTAGACACGATTGTTATGAATATATATTTTTTTTGTTTTCCTTTTTATTCAATTTGACTGCTTCTGTAAACTTATTTCTTTTATACCAAATCACTATATGCAGTTTAATTTTTTTCCAAGGCACAGGATAAAAATATAAGACCTTTTAAATCGAATATTTTAAGAGTTGTAGATTAGTATTAAATGTCTCATCCTTTTTGCGTGTAACTATGTATAGCTAGACATCTGACATACATATAAAACTTCATCTATAACTACAACTACAGCTATAACTAAAAATGTATCTTTAACTACAATTATGCAACTACAATTCTACAACTGTACAACTACAACTACAACTACAACTACAACTACAACTACAACTACAACTACAACTACAACTACAACTACAACTACAACTACAACTACAACTACAACTAAAACTACAACTACAACTGCAACTACAACTAAAACTACAACCACAACTACGCCTACAACTACAACTACAACTACAACTACAACTACAACTACAACTACAACTACAATTACAATTACAATTACAACTACAACTACAACTACAACTACAACTACAACTACAACTACAACTACAACTACAACTACAACTACAACTATAACTACAACTACAATACCTATTGAAAATACCTGATTTGAGAAGACTGCTGACTATTATAAGAGAAAGAAGACATATCACTATAAATTGATTTTTAAACTGTTTTATTCTATAATAAAGACGACAGTTTATTTTTAACATTTCCTTCATGTTATTATACACTTGTCAACCCTCTAAAATAAATAGAAATGTTGGGAAATAATGAGGGCAAGCAGAGAAACTGAAAATACAGTTTAAGAATATGTCTTGTCATGGTTTTGGTTTTAAAGTTCTACCTGTGCAGTACTTAATTTTACGTGTTTCAAATATGTATGTCTGTATGTTAGTCTGTCACTATTTATCTATTTATCTTTCTGTCTATCAGTCAGTATGTATTTCATGTCTATTTGTCTGTCTGTCTTTCTAGCTATATGTCTGTTTGTATGTTAATAGTTCTGTGTACGTAAGTGTCAGCTTTATATTTCTCTCTGTCTATCTATCTATACTATCCATCTATCTTAATACTTATCTACGTTAACAAATAGAGAAAGTACTGCACTAGAGAAGGTACTCCACAAGAGAGAGTACTCCACTGAACAGAGTACTCCACAAGAGAGAGTTCTACACTTGAAAGAGTACTCCACTAGAGAGAGTACTCCACTAGAGAGAGTTCTCCACTAGAGAAAGTACTTCACTTAAGATTACTCCTTTAGAGAGAGTACTCCACACGAGAAAGTACTCCAACTACTTTTGCAACGATTAATTAAGTTGTGATCATACTAAATGCATTTTATTTTTATAGAACTATAATCTCTCTTTATAAAAATATATGTTTATTTTAACCAACTTAAAATCCCCATTTTATGTTGAATTATGATGTTTTTTGGATTTCTTCTTTTTCTTGCTTTTCTTTTTCTTCTTCTTCTTTTTCTAGAAATTAAGAGAAAATAGATAAAACAAGAAATGCTAAAAAGTGAAATTGAGTTGTTTAGCAAAGAAATGTGCAATAAAACTACTTGCCTTGGATTTCTTTTTCTTCTTCTTTTTGCTTCTCTTTTTCTAAAAATCAGAAAATAATAAAAAACAATTAACAATTGCACGTAACATCTTTAGAAAATCTAATCTACAAGTAAAAGAGGACTTTGGCTTTCATTTAAATTGGTGTATTTAAAAGTTGATCCATTCAAATTGCTTTATGAAAATCAATCCATAAAGACTGATCCATACAAATAAAATTATACAAATGATCCAAACAAATAAATGCATTTACACATTTATTCCAATAATTTTATTAAATTTGACATTTTCTACTTTTTCGCAGAATCCCCAGCAAATTCAGTTGCACGTTTACAATTCGCAAACAAACTTTGGCAAAATTGCGAAATTGCATGAAAATTTGCGTACTGCTAAATAGCTTTTATAACCCATAATATTAAAACCAAATTAAAATATATAACAAAACAAGATATGCTGAGTATAGCCAGCCAAACGGCTGGACCGAATGGGCGGAAATTTTTTGTGGACAGTCATGGGTGTCTTAGGCTAAAAATAATCTGTTTTTTTAAATATATTTTTTTCCAACGCCGGGCCCTTCAGCTAGTAAATGATAAACCTTGATATTTCCTGATCTATCTGGTGGTTCCTCCCAGAACGGAGTTATTAATCTCGTTTCTCCAATCTCCAATTGAATGTTATTCTAAACCAGTATAAAAAATTAAGAAAAAAAATATAAAAGAAAAATTTAAATTTGAATTCCCTTCATATAATTTCTTTAAGTCTGTTAAAAAAATCTAAAATAGCCTAGAACTTTTTAGTGACTAATGCTACATATCTAGAAACTATATTTAAAAAAAAACTTGAAAAACGCATGTAGAAACATAGGTCACACTTTGATATTTAATTGAAACAAAATTTTTTTTAAAAATTTTTCTAACCCTTTATTTGGCATTTTTTTCAACCCATCAGGCTATACATCGATTTAGCCCCCCCCCCCCATCCTTTAAAAGCAGGACTCAAACATTTGTTCAATATTCTGGCACTTCTAGAAAATACCTATTGATATTTTTAAATATATATCAGCTGGCAATCTAGGTGTTAAACAATTTAAAGCATTTAAAACAAGAAAGACATGTGTATATCAGACATAGGTTTAAAAGGTACTGTTGTGAATCGGGATGCCTTTCTGTAAATGGAATGTCACTTGCCATGTTACAGTCCCTTTAAAATGTATAAAACTACTACAGTCTCTTTAAAATGTATAAAAATACTATACAGTCTCTTTAAAATGTATAAAACTACTACAGTCCCTTTAAAATGTATAAAACTACTATAGTCCCTTTAAAATGTATAAAACTACTGCAGTCCCTTTAAAATGTATAAAACTACTGCAGTCCCTTTAAAATGTATAAAACTACTACAGTCCCTTTAAAATGTATTAAACTACTACAGTCCCTTTAAAATGTATGAAACTACTACAGTTCCTTTAAAATCTATAAAACTACTGCAGTCCCTTTAAAATGTATGAAACTACTACAGTCCCTTTAAAATGTATAAAACTACTTCAGTCCCTTTAAAATGTATGAAACTACTACAGTCCCTTTAAAATGTATAAAACTACTACAGTCCCTTTAAAATGTATAAAACTACTACAGTCTCTTTAAAATGTATAAAACTACTACAGTCCCTTTAAAATTTATAAAACTACTACAGTCCCTTTAAAATGTATAAAACTAGTGCAGTCCCTTTAAAATGTATAAACTACTACTGTCTCTTTAAAATGTATAAAACTACTACAGTCCCTTTAAAATGTATAAAACTACTACAGTCCCCTTAAAATGTATAAAATTACTGCAGTCCCTTTAAAATGTATAAAACTACAACAGTCCCTGTAAAATGTATAAAACTACTACAGTCCCTGTAAAATGTATAAAACTACTTCAGTCCCTTTAAAATGTATGAAACTACTACAGTCCCTGTAAAATGTATAAAACTACTACAGTCCCTTTAAAATGTATAAAACTACTTCAGTCCCTTTAAAATGTATGAAACTACTACATTCCCTTTAAAATGTATAAAACTACTACAGTCCCTTTAAAATGTATAAAACTACTGCAGTCCCTTTAAAATATATAAAACTACTACAGTCTCTTTAAAATGTATAAAACTATTGCAGTCTCTTTAAAATGTATAAAACTACTACAGTCCCCTTAAAATGTATAAAATTACTGCAGTCCCTTTAAAATGTATAAAACTACTGCAGTCCCTATAAAATGTATAAAACTACTACAGTCCCTTTAAAATGTATAAAATACTGCAGTCCCTGTAAAATGTATAAAACTACTACAGTCCCTGTAAAATGTATAAAACTACTACAGTCCCTGTAAAATGTATAAAACTACTACAGTCCCTTTAAAATGTATGAAATTACAGCAGTCCCTTTAAAATGTATAAAACTACTGCAGTCCCTGTAAAATGCATAAAATTAATGCATTCTCTTTAAATGTATAAAAGTACTTACAATAAAATCTGATTTCTTTGAATAATTTTGAGGAGCAGAAGCAGTCTCTTTAATCCAATCAAGAACTGTCTTTACTCTCCCATAGATACCTTAGTTTAAATATAGACAATGCTTAAGGAATTTACAGTAAAACCCTTAAAAACGAATACATCGGACGAATTTATCAAATGTCGTCTTGACAATTTTTCAATGAGTTTTATACTATATTACGTAAATTTCAGTATTTGCGAAAATAAATAAATAGCCATGAATATATGCGGGAACAGTTTTAAAGAGATCCATATGATCATTTAATTAATAAACTAAATATCTGCAACATTCCATTATCAGAGAGTGAAGAATACGACATTTGATGAATTCTTTCGATGTATTCGTTATTAAGGGTTTCCCTGTACATAATGATAAAAAAACGAAAATTACAGGATAAAAATTAAGAGTTTGAGATAAATTCAGAAGGTTTATAAATATTTACCTGGCAGATCCTTATTAGCACAGTCCCTGCCCCTGCTAACAATACCAACCAGATAGGCTCTGTTTTCTTTCTTTCCATTCAGATATACACTCTCAGTTACCCAGAGAGGACCTCCACTATCGCCTAGACAGTTTTTATCAGTCAGCTTGATCATTGTAAACTTCATTTAAGTAGAAGGTAAACATTACGCCACATCAACTTTGTGACCTCGTAGCTCCACTAGCATTTATGCAAAGGATAATAAAATTAGACGGTTAAATTTTTGTCTTAATAAGAGGAGTTTTGAGTGAAAACATGGGAACGTAAACTTTAGTTCGACCGGCGTGATGTTTAATACTACCCAATAAGGTCGTTAGGTAAATACTAGAGACTGCATGTGTTATATATTTGTAGAATGACTCCGATGTTATTACTTTGGCCAAATCTCAATGAATCAATGAACGCAGCTGACACTAAATCCAACCTGGGAACTCTTGTATTCTAATTCTCGATCATTTGCTATGCAGATTAATTTAATCTTTATTCGATATCCTGTTAGGTACTCCTACCCTGGAGGAATAACCGTAATGATTAAACAATAATCCTCAAATTGAAAATGCCCACAATGGATATCGAGATTAAGCCATTGGGAGTATGAGAATCAAACACAAAAGTGTACAACGCTTTATAGATAAAGTTAGCAAGGGTTTTAATGTTTATTTATTCAGATACCTCGTACCATTGCATGAATCTACTCCACCCAGCAGCATGTTGTTGTATTTAAACCGAGATGTATTTGTTCGGGATGATCTAGAAAATACAAAATATTTCTACAGTAAAACAAATAGCACTCTAGAAGACGACATTTAAACTCATGTTATGCCTTTACATAGTCGATCCAAGTAACATGAAACATAACAATTTTGTATTGTAAGCAGACCAATTTTACTCAATTCGTTAAATCTCGTAAAATTACTCTGCTTAGGTGCATTTAATGCCGGTGCTCTAACAAATGTTGTTAGTTTAAAATTTGAAATTTATTTAACATTCCTTAAATGTAGATTTCCTATTCCACAGTTTTCTGGTTCTCACTGCAGTAAATTGTAAAAACATACCATAACAAGGATAACGTTTACCTTAACTCTTCATGATCCATCTTCTCAAGTTTAAAAACATATTTGTTGTCTAAAGCACTACATTTTAAACAACCTTGAACGTTTATGGAAAAAAAAAAAATATAAAGGATGAATATATAGCAAACTTTCTTCAAAATTATCCATATTTTTTTTTTTCATCATTGTTGATTACATTCTTCTGACAATATCTATTTATATTTATAATTCGCTTCTCTGTTTGTTTGAATATCTAATAAACATTAAAACAAAACGAAGTTCTTAATTTTTTCATGAATAATGGGAATTTCTGAAAAATCTGCGGAAACGGCTCAAGATGAAAACGATAAACACCTCAAAAAAAAGCACCTAAACGATTCAAAAATATTCATTAAATCCCTCAACTTTTTAAGAGTAGAGGGATTTCCCAAAACAAAGTGCACAATTAGAAAAAAGTAATTTTTGAGGCATTTCTGTGGAAAGGCGTTTCCAAAGCACCCCTCACATGACCCCAGGAAAGGTAAATGGATGCTCAAAGTATAAAAAATTTGTCTTCAAAGTGAATTTTGCAAAACCCGCGAAAAAAAATCCGCCAATATTTTTCTACTGTACAAAAGTAAATGCACACGGACAGAGCTACATTTTTTAAGTTGTAAAAGAAGATGGGTGCGAGCGAAGGGATAAAAAGAAAAAATAACAACAAAAAACAAATTGTCCCAAATGATAAGACAAGGTGGTTGGATATATATAAATTTATTCAATGCAATCTCATTGAAAAATGTGCAATTTTTTTTTTGAAAATATGAGAGGAGTCAGGTATAAAATGTTACTTATTTGCCTCGGAAAAATAAAAAAAAACTTTTCATACCCGAGATTGTGAAATTGAAAGAAAAAATGCGAAATAAAAATTCTCCCAAAATTAAATAAAATACTTTTTTAATAATGAAATGTATTCCTGTTAAGAAACCTTCCTTTAAGTGTGTAGCTGACAACAGATGAATTAACAGCTGACAAATGTCCTGCACAAAGCTCGACATCAGTGTCTATGTAGACAGCCTGGTTTACAAGCAGAAAGAAAGAATTTGATACTTCAACACAAACTATGATATTCTTTATGATATCTTTGCAACCCAAAGTGGTATGTATTGCATGGCATAGCCCAAAGTGATATGTATAGCATGGCATAGCCCAAAGTGATATGTATTGCATGGCATAGCCCAAAGTGATAGCATGGCATAGCCCAAAGTGATATGTATTGCATGGCATAGCCCAAAGTGATAGCATGGCATAGCCCAAAGTAATATGTATTGCATGCCATAGCCCAAAGTGAAATTTATTGCATGGCATAGCCCAAAGTTATATGAATTGCATGGCATAGCCCACAGTGAGATGTATAGTGACATGTATTGCATGGCATAGCCCAATGTGATATGTATTGCATGGCATAGCCCAAAGTGAAAACATGTCATAGCCCAAAGTGATATTTATTGCATGGCATAGTCCAAAGTGATATTTATTGCATGGCATAGCCCAAAGTGATATGTATTGCATGGCATAGCCCAAAGTGAAAGCATGTCATAGCCCAAAGTGATATTTATTGGATGGCATAGTCCAAACTGATATGTATTGCATGGCATAGCCCAAAGTGAGATGTATAGTGACATGTATTGCATGGCATAGCCCAAAGTGGTATGTATTGCATGACATAGCCAAAAGTGATATGTAGTGAATGGCATAGCCCAAAGTGATATGTATTGCATGGTATAGCCCAAAATTATATGTATTGATTGTATAGCCCAAATTAATATGTATTGCATGGCAGGGCCCAAAGTGAAATGTATTTCATGGCATAGCTCAAAGTGATATGTATTGGATGGCATAGCCCAACTTGGTATGCACTGCATGCTTAACCACAAACTATGATTTTCTTTATGAAATCTTTGCAACCCAAAGTGATATGTATTGCATTGCATAGCCCAAAGGGACATGTATCGCATGGCATAGCCCAAATTGTTATTTATAGAATGGAATATCTCAAAGTAATATGTATTGCATGACATAGTCCAAAGTGATATTTATTGCATTGCATATTTCAAAGTGATATTAGTGCATGGCATAGCCCAAAGTGATATGCATTGCGTGGCATAGTTCAAAGTGATATGTATTGCATCGCAGAGCCCAAAGTAATATGGATTCCATGGGATAGCCCAAAGTGAAAGCATGTCATAGCCCAAAGTGATATTTATTGTATGGCATAGTCCAAAGTGATATGTATTGCATGGCATAGCCCAAAGTGAGATGTATAGTGACATGTATTGCATGGCATAGCCCAAAGTGATATGCATAGTGACATTTATTGCATGGAATAGCCCATAGTTATATGTACAGCATGGCATAGCCCAAAGAGATATGTAGTGCATGGCATAGCCCAAAGTGGTATGTATTGCATGGTATAGCCCAAATTGATATGTATTGTATGGCATAGCCCAACGTGATATGCATTGCATGGCATAGCCCAAAGTGTTATGTATTAAACGACATAGCCCAAACTGATATGCATTGCATGTCATAGCCCAAAGTAATATGTATTGCATGACATAACCCAGAGTAATATATATTGCTTGGCATATCCAAAGTGATATATATGGCATGGCATAGCCCAAAGTGATAAGTATTGCATGGCATAGCCTAAAGTGATATATATTGCATGGCATAGCCCATTGTGATAGCATGGCATAACTGAAAGTTATATGTATTGCATGGCATAGCCCAAAGTGACAGCATGGCATAGCTCAAAGTTATATGTATTGCATGGCATAGTCCAAAGTGATATGCATAGCATGACATGGCATAGCACAATTGGGTTTATTATCAAATCATTTAACTTCCGTACAAAGGAACTAAGTCTTTGTCACAATTTTTGATTTTCTATTCACTATATCTTTGCAACCCAATTTGAAACCCCTTAGATAGTTTAAAGTATGAAGTCTGATAAATCAAATAATCTTTTAAAATACGAACTTCTTACACCATTGTTACAATGAAATAAATAAAAAAATGGGTTTTTGGCAACGACTCAATTCCCTTAATAAATACTAATTCTTTTGAATAAAACAAAATTTTTTGGTAAGCAACAATTTTCCTTGAATCCCGCTAATCTAAAAACTTAAAAAGTCCATGATCAGACCTTCACAAAGGAGTAAATTATTTATTTACTCTAAAAACAATTTGAACCAATGGAAACCTAAACCTACTCGCGGGATTCTAATTAAAATCCCGAGGGCATTGAAATATTAAATTTCCATTTGTACAAATTTTTCTCAAAGTATATGAATAATTCATCGTTTACACTGGAAATATAAAAAAAATTGAACTGCTTTTCCTCATTTTGTTCTGTAGCATTAAGTGTTAGCAGTTCTACAAAATAAAATTATGTATTGAAGTAATTAATTATTTTCAAAAGATTGTTCCCAAATAAAAATGCACAAAAATGATAGTGTTTGGCTTTAGCCTTTTGTAGTTTTTCTGCCCCCCCCCCCTTATTTCTGATAAAAATACGAAAGTCGCCACCTATTTATAAATACTTTTTTATTTTTTTAAATTTTCCGTTCATTAAATTTCTGTTATTCTTGTTCTTTAAATATCTCAAAATTAACGGGTTTTGCAGTTAGTTAACAGAATCTTTAAAATAATTTAGACCTAAATAATTGGTTTCAAGATTTTACTTTTAAATCATTTCTGCTTAAATTTACCTTTACAGATTGTCAGGTTCAAGGTGTAAAGATGAGCCATAGATAGTTTCACTGCAGCTTCTTTTACCCTAAAAAATACTCTTTGTAAAATGATTCCCTGAAACAAATAACTGCTGTAGATCATTATTTACCATGGAGATTCAATATCATTAGTTTATTCTGGTGGCGTGTTTGCTGAAGGTTCAAATTTTATGAACATACATAGATCAAACACTTCTCTTGTTCGCCGCACAGTTTAAGCTGAAGAGAAGTGGTTCAACCATGTTTGCGGGGTTCAACCATTTCTCACTATTCATAAAATTAGAATCCTTTTAAAGTAAATTTAGATAATAGAAAATATCTATCTTCTGCATGTGTGAGAAAATCCACGTTTTTTAAAAATCCCCGAAATTTTTTAGCTTTTTTTGTTATTGTACATGGACCAGGTATATTTGTATTTTATTCTTGCTGTTAAAATAAAAATAAAAATACATGTTTTAAAAAATTCCAGAAATGTCTGATGGTAAGAATAAGATGAATATATGAAATATACAAAAGAAGTTTAAATAATCTTGGTCACGAGGGTCATTTTGTAATTCATTTAATAATATGTTTTTGTTTGTAAAATATTGAAAAAGGGAATATCTACAGGGTTACCTACAAAAGGTGAGACTTATATAAAGACGACTTAAAACTCTTAAAACAGCCTTTAAATGTCCTATTTAATGATTTATAAAAGCAAGAATTAAGTTTACAGACACAATGAACTATAAATCTAAGAAAACAGACAGTATTAATTCCGTATAATCGTCTCTGAAGTCTCATCTTTGGTGGGTTACCCTGTATAATGATTTTACTTACGTTCCACAAACTGGTGGACAGAACCCCCATCCTTGGTCATCCAGAGGTTCAGCTACTCCATCCTTACAGTATCCACCCTCACCCTTGGTTACAGGATTTTCACATGTTTTCATCACAAGAAACTAATTCCTTTCTGTTTCAAAATTAGTAAGAACAACAAGAAGAAAATGGAGATTTAGAAAAACATATATGTAAAAATATTTGTTGCAGATTTCATCTAATCTAAAGATGTTATTACAATTAAAATAAAAAATAAATATGTTAAAAAAGATTTTTTATAGGAATGTGTTGATACTGTTGATACAGAGCTGAGCTGTCACTGCAAACTCTGATCTTCTAATCTATGCAAAGCAATGATGTAGATCTTTCATATATCGGACTATAAATTTTGTTAGATCCAATATTGTAAATTTAAAATATCTAAGGTTTACAACATATATAGTGACTATGCTATTAGAGTTTGTGGCAAAATGGCAGGGTTCGGACTGTGGAACTATTACGTTCCGTTCTTGGCAGTGTAGTGCTAATAGGATCCATTTCATTTTGTTGAATAAATAATAAACATGACTCCGGGTCGACATGAACATTTCATTCAGATTTAATGATTTTTAATAAAAGAAGAATCTTCAAGTTATCATTCTTTATTTTTATGCTAAACTTGAGGAATCATTTAAGAGATAAGGAATTTTTTTAAATCACTCTTTTTTCAAAAATTAAGATTTGAGAGCAGAATTTTTTTATAAATTTGGATTGATATTTTGCCCCTTGGATCCGAGTCCGTGGATCCAAATATTTTTGCGGATCCAGATCTGAAAGTATGTTGCGGATCCTAGCACTGGAACTTTTTGGAGAAACAACTCGCAAATCTTTTTCTATTTGAACTTACTGGTTTAGCTGTGTTCTTACACACACCACACCATCCACCTCCAAGCATACCAGTCAGAAAGCAATGCACTTTTTTGAAACCAGAAGTTTTATTCTTGAGCTCATCCTGAGCTACTAGAACTACCTAGATCAAAGTTAGTGTTTAATGAGGATTTTAGAGTTTGATATCTAGTTAATCCTAAGCATTTGTCCTCCCCCCCCCCTGACATTAAAAAGTTATATTGTATGTTTAAAGGGTCTGTAATTAAACGTACGTTTAAGTGGCCTTTATTGGAAATCTAGAAATTGTGGAAGACTTTCCACCTCTAGAAGTCTGAAGAGTTCCGCCAAAGCCAACCCAAATATATTTACATTATTCATGTGATTCTCTCAGTTGTTTTGATCTCGATATTATAGACAAAATATATAGTTTACTGAACCATCCCAGCCTCGTTATTAGAGTCCGTCCTCACGACTTCTATAAAATGTCTGATTCACAATGGATTTCCGTCCACACAAATGACTTGCGCATTTTTTGCTTATAAGAAACAATTGAGAAATATAAAGAAAAAACCCATCGAGTCACATTTTGTCAACATTTTTGATTAAATTAAGATGTCAGTGGTAACCAATTAAATCTCGCATTGCTATCTTTGCAAGGAGGGTCAGTTGAAATGATGTTAACAATCCCTTTAACTGTTTCCGTTATATCACCTCCTCCGGGTTATCTCCTAGGGTATTTTTTAGTTCCTGTTCTTCCGGAGTTTGTTGTGAAGCTGGTTTTTTCCCCATGTTGTCTAGCTAAGTATATTTAAATTTTTAAACCTATATTTTTTTTATCGATAAAATCGTTCGTTTTTCTCAAAACCTTAGGTAAAATTTGTATATTCAGTATAAAACGAACAAAATCATTCGAACGATCAAGATCCGTTGAACGATAAAGATTTTAAATCGACTGTTTTGTTCATTTAAAAAACGCTAGTTTTTTTCATATCTCTGAAAGATCCAATGTCGTTCGTCCATTGTTTGCTTTTTTCTGAATGAAACCATTTTTCACGCAAAAGTTGGTTCGTTATAAAAAATGTTGTTCGTTCAAAAAAACTATGCATATATCTTTACTCAGTCATATTTGTTAAAGTAAGAAATACGAAATAAGCTTACAACCTGATCTCTGAAGTTTTTGCATATTGCATTGTAGCTCATGGGCTGAAGCTGAGTTTTTGTACACTGTTCTTTGGCTAGAACACCCCCTCTTGGATTTAACTTTACAATGTCACTGTAAAATGTATGTAAAATCAATTGCAAGACAAACTCTCTCAAAGCATAATTTCAGATTACCTTTTACTTATAAAAGGGTAGGTTCTATTTACAACGATACCCTTTAAACCTTTGCTTGATCAAGGATTTTGTAGATATTCTTATTTATGTAGCGGGAAATAAAGTGCAGCCAAGAAAAAGCGCGAGTGTAAACTAGTAGTAAAGAGAGTACAGTGTACACTGTAACCTCAAATCTCTCGGCAGTCGGCACTTCAGCTAACGCAAGAATGTAAGGCAAGGAGTCAATTGCGGTTGTGTATACTCTGAGTACATATTGAAACCAGTTCTCTCTGGGCGGAATTTGTAAACAATAATAGTTGCACAGGGGCGAACGAGGGCTTTTGTTTAGGGGGGGGCACAATGTGCGCGCGTAAGCGCGCAAAAAAGTTTTTTTGGTCCCCCCCCCTTGGCAACATTGTGCCCCCCCTTAAAAAGCCCTTTTTTAAAACAAATATTAATTCCATTTTAAAATTTTTTTTTGCCCCCCCCCTCCCACCTGAACTTTTTTTGTTCACCATAAAAATACACCAAAAAGACTACATTTTTGGGTCTTACTAACCTTAGAGTCTAAAAATTATTCCTTTGCTTGAAAAACTAACTTTTTAACTTTACAAATTTATCACTTAACTCCATCACAGCTAACTAAATCAATATCACAGCATCATTAAAAATTATATTTTTACTAATAAACGAAATTTCTTATGAAATTTTTAGATAGAATTTACTCAATCTACATTTCACCTCTTTTGAGCTACAATTTTCTGGGATTTGCTTGCACAAACATTTCAATGATTTTTTCAGTAGAGAGCTCAGACAGCCTCATAGGGTTTAAAGCTATAAGTGCAAGATCGTTAAGTCTGCTCTCCGTCATAGTACATCTTGTGTAATGAAGTATTCTCTTTAGAAGGCTAAAACTTTTCTCTCCTTGTATTAACAGTGAATTTAGACAAATCCTTAGTCTTTGTCATCGTCAGGTGTTACTTTCTAAAAGTAGTTTCCTTTTAATTTTGTATTTTTGGAACTCCCAGGGGGGGCAAGAGGACTACTGCCCCCCCCCCTAGGTACACAACTGTGCCTGACCTGAGGAAGGGAAATGCAAGCAGAGGTAATATTAAAAGAGCCTTCCCCATGGATGCCCCCCTCAGCCTCTCAGGGGGGGGACGCGTAGTGGGGGGCGGGGGGGGGCCCCCCCCTCGTACGCCCCTGTAGATGCATCAGTGTTCGTTTAGTATCCGAGGAGGTTAAAAGCATCAAATTTTGATAATTTTGATAATTCACATAATAATTTCCTATGACCAGAATATTTCATTGATTTTTTATGTGAAAGATGGATCCCATGTCAGGCTTCGACATCCGTCTTGTGTTTACATTAGCGCCCAGAGACAGTACACTGCAGTACAAAAGATGTGTACACTTCTGAAATAACTTTCCTTGCCTTACATCCTTTAACGAATCTACGTCATCGTTGTCCAGACAAAGGATTAAAGTAATTATAAAGGGTAACTTTGTGAATCGAATAGATGGAACTTTACTTGAAATTACGATATACAATTCATTTAAGTCAGTACATTAAGTTTTAAAGTTATCTTTATCAAAAACGGATGGGAGTTTAAAATATGATTTATTTTACTGAACTCTAAAAATTTCGAGTAGTTGTAGAGCTTAAAACAGAATTAACAGGGGAGTAAAATGATATATGTCGTACTTAAGTATTTAAACAAGAAAGCCAATTTTTTAGATTAATTCATGATTTGCTATTAAACATTCAAATTTGAAATTACATACTCTGATCCCGGAAGCTTCCAAGATTGAGCACATTGTTCAAAAGTTTCTGGTCCTAAAATAGCAACAAATTAATTATTGGAGAATATTTATTTGAATGAGGGAGGGAGTGCAAAGCCATCATGAACCCCACGCAATGACCTCCGGAGCCTCCTAATTTTCAGAATGACCTCCAAGTCCCTAAAAACCATCTCCGTGCATTTCGCTTTGTCTTTTTTATACAAATTGTTTGTGTATCATTAAAATTTTGAGATTTTTCTATAAAAAGACTATTATTGGATGTAATTATGCCAAATATCTTTTATTGGAGATCAGAATTTTGGACTTATAGACCGCCGCAATACCAGTTTAAAATTTTTACAGAAAGTACAAATTGGGGTTTCTAGATTAGTTCTGTGATGTTCAATGTTTAGTAATATTTTTTTAATCTTTGGTTTGGGTTTTCATGACTTCTGTTGAAACTGTCTTAATGTTTGAGCTGGGAACTTTAGAATGGTGGATATCAGGATTAATGCACTTAATCCTCTGTTTTTGCTAATATCCAAAGAGAGAGAAAAAGAGTGGATTAAGGACTAAAATGTAAAGTTTCCACAGTGGATATTCGGATTAAGTAGTTGGAATTAAAGATTATCCATTCTAAAGTTCCCAGCTCTGATCATAGACTAAATAATATTTCTGGGTCTCGATATTTAATGAAATATAAATTTTCTATAAATCATTTTATCACAAATACTCTTTAAAATGTACAGGGTGTCCCACGAAACATGACATTTGGTATACATTTATAAATGTCTTCTTCCATTTAATGTATAATAATTTAAAGACTTTTCGGAGTTTATTGCTTTAAAAAATCTTTTACTCAAATATAAATTTAAAATTTTGAAGTTATTTTACCATAATATGACTTCCATAAGATATTTTAATCATTCTCTTTGATATCAAACAACTTTTTAAAAACTATTCACCAACTAATATCTTTCGTGGGACACCCTGTAACTAATTGCAATAATTTTGTTTACATACTATTGTTTACCTTGTGATGTTGTGAAACAATTACTCCTTTCATAACCTGCACCAACTACGGTTACACTCTAATCAACACCATGGTTTGGTTTGGTTCCATACTTTTCATTAAATGCAAAATATGACATATCTTTTACAAATATATAAAAGGGGCTGTAATTGTAATTTCAAGTGGCCCTTTATGTAAAGATTCACAACGGTACCTTTGATCCATTAAATCTAAGCAATAATGTGGATAATAGTCTTGTTTATCTAGGTTTAAAATAGTTTAATTCTGCTATTTCGTATGCGTTTTTCCTGCATTAGATTGTGCTAGTCACTTTGGTAGAGAATACATAATTAAAATTAAACTTACAATTCCTTCATTTCTTTAACGTCTACAATTATTTATATTTAATCCATGATTATTGCCTTTTCAATATCTTGAAATTCTGCGTTGGATGGAAGACAAATGGGCATTATTACTCCTGGACTGATATGGGATATTATGAAGCTTATAGAGATAAAACGTTTAAAAAATAATTTCCAAATACCACTGACTGAAATAAAATGTAAATTGTCATTTTTTCGTTCGCTTTGAAAATAGGTATGTAGACCATAAACCTTACAATTTATCTCCGTAAAATGTCGTCTTAAATCAAAATATACTCCGGAACCAAACCAAACCTTTTCTCCGGTAAATTGAAACAACTCGTGAAAAGTGAAACACGTTTTAGTAAATACTTAAAATCCGTGATTATTGCTGTAAACAACAAATCTTAGCAACCCAACGGATATTTTATTTACAGAAGTAATAATCGTTTTATTCTGATCACTAGACCCCTCATTTTCTGCTTCTACCAGCAATAAGTATAAGAACCTTTAAACAAATCAAACATTGTTTACATTGTTAAACTGTACAAATTTTTAGGTTTGAAATAAACAATTTTTTGTGCATTGTGGACTATGGATTAGTGGTGGAAAGTGTGGAAACCAACCTGATAACCATAGACGCCCTAGGGACCAACCTGATAACCATAGACGCCCTAGGGACCAACCTGATAACTATAGACGCCCTATGGACCAACCTGATAACCATAGACGCCCTAGGGACCATAACCTAAGAAAATAAATCTCCGGGGAAACCAACCTGATGAATACAGACGCCCTTGGGACTGTAACTTGCGTAACCTAATCTCCCCTAGGGAAACCAACCTTTGATTAACCTCGAGGCCTCCTTTAACTCAACAAGGTATTTCTTTTTGCTCATTACGATTTGATTCATTCATTTGTCGTTCTTTCATTCTTATGAACAGCTGAACAACATTCTTATGAACAACTGAACAACACTTTTAGCCTTTTGAACAACTGAACACACTTTCAGTCTTATGAACAACTGAACAACACTTTCAGTCTTATGAACAACTGAACAACACTTTAAGTCTTATGAACAACTGAACAACACTTTTAGTCTTATTAACAACTGAACAACACTTTCAGTCTTATGAACAACTGAACAACATTTTCAGTCTTATGAACAACTGAACAACACTTTCAGTCTTATGAACAACTGAACAACACTTTCAGTCTTATGAACAACTGAACAACATTTTCAGTCTTATGAACAACTGAACAACACTTTCAGTCTTATGAACAACTGAACAACACTTTCAGTCTTATGAACAACTGAACAACACTTTCAGTCTTATGAACAACTGAACCATCATTTACGAAAACGTTTGTTTCTTTTGAGAAGCTTTTTTACGAGTTAATGAAAAAGCTTTTCTAAAAGGCTAAAGATCTTTAAAAAAAAATCAAAATAGTTTTGCCTAGACAAAACACATTTTCCAGCCATTTTATTTAAAAAACTGTTTTCGACCTCACCTGTCCTGCCCTTGCACTAAAGGGCAAACAGAGCAGTTTGACATATGTTAAGTTTTTTTTAGAATAACAGATTTCTAGAAAAATGAAAAAGAAAATAATTAGAAACACTGAAATCAGAACATTTGTGTTGCGAATCTCGTTGCAAATCTAGCACTGATCTTTATTTTTGCAGATCCACAGATTAATTCTGACATCCCATAATCATGACATGAAGAGATAACATTATTTGAGGATTCAAGAATTGATCTCAGAAAGTGTCACCATGAATATAAAGATCAAACATTCAAAAGTTACGATCTCTGACTAAACTTTAAAAATAAGCTTCATAATCACTTTCTTGTAGGTATCTGAAAATCCGATACCATATGCATTATCAGCAATAGGGTAGTCCAGTCTCCATAATGCAAAGTCATGGGTTCTTACACCTTCTGTTTCTTCAAACTTAGGATGCACAAACACCTCTACAACTCTGAAGTCTCTGGCAGATGAGAAGGATTGAATAGTGTCTTCTTGAGCCTGAGGTCTTAACACCTTAAAAATATAATTTCAGCTTTTAGATTTCTATCTTAACATCTCTATATATATATACAGTATTAATCTCTGTTTATTTGATTTATGTCCGATCATAACTCAGGAACCACAGTTAAAATGTTCTAAGTCTCATTTACAATTCTAAGTAGAGTTTTATATTAAAAACTTCAGGCCAAGCTGGGTTTCCATGCTAGTGTTCAATAATTTCAAATATTACCTTAATAATAGTTAGACTATATGCTGGGACCAGGCGTCCTAGTTTTGTGTCCTTTGTGCATTTTAATTTTGAATTGCAAGAACAATGGCCAGCAGTTAACACCCAGAACTTGTTAATATAAGCACCTCCACATCTGCGTACATTCAATGTATCCTATATAATGAATATATGATATTGTAGCGATATGATTTCCACAGAAAGGGAAAATGCAGAAAGGCAAAAACAAGAACTATTAACCGATTTGCATCAAATTTTGTTAGGAAACTCTGGAGAACCACGGGAATATCCATTAGCTTTGTTTTGAGATTATAAGTTGAGTGAGTTTACTTTTATGCGGAAAAATAGCTAAAATCGCAATTTACGACTAAGCGCGGGTAAACGGCTGGAATAACTGGACAACGCTGGGTTCTCAACATAATCTTTGATAAATGATTAAAAATTCTTACATTAGATATTAGGATTTGTGCAAACCAGGGAATTAATGGAGAAGGGCATCCTCCCACAATTCTGTAGAATTAGATAAATAAAGTTTGCTTTCTTCTTCTCAGGTATTGTGTGTACAGTGTACAGTGATAACTTGAAAACTCTGAAATAGGAAGACGACTTTACAGTAATACTGAAGTGTATTTAATGATGTCAGGTACTTTCCAAGTGGTAACTAATTAAGGATATTTCCTCCCTGTGGAAACTTCCCAAATGTGCAATTTCCCAAGCGGCCACTTCCCAAGTATGCCCTAGCCGCAGGGCTTGGTCCCTATAATGGTTTAGCTGCAACCCTCCGCCCCCTAGCCCATCCTAGCAGCAGCGCTCGGCCCTCATTGCAATTTGCAGTGACTCAGAAGGTCTAAGCTAACCTTTGGGAAGTTTCCAAATTGCTAATTGCACATTTGGGAAGTTGCCATTTGGGAAATTGTCATTTGGGAAGTCGCCCTTGGGGAAATAGCTAACATCTATTTAATGGTATTATAAAGAATGAAAGAATGATGAAACATTTGTCAAAATCACTAACTTAATGAAAAAGGTCTGCTTTACACTGCACAATTGGTGTGTCTTAAGCTCATCGGACTTTTTAAAGTTATAACTTGAGTCTTAAAGTTGTCTTTTTATTTCAGACTTTTTGTTTATATAACACTATATGCGCCAGTTACTTTAAAGATGGCCAAGAATTAGGGTTTCCAAAAGGAAAATTGTTTCGTGAAAAAAAGTGTTGGCAAAAATCTTTGAATATCTTCGCATTTTGTTCGCTTGCAAAAAATGCGAAATTTCGCGAAATAATTCGAAATTTTAAGGACAAATGCAAAATAGCGAAAAATCATTATAAAAAGACAAAATACAGCTAACACCTATGGTTTAGCGAAAATTTCGCGAAATGCGGAAATGAAGCAAAATTTACGCAAAAATTCGTTTTAGCATTTTTCGTTTCATTCATTTTCGCGAAAAAGTTTGCGAAATACTAACATTTCGTTCGCTGGAAACCCTACAGAGAATGCAACGGCTCTCATCGCAATATCACAACATATTTTCTTGTAAACAATAGAAATTTTGCTTGACATTTAATGATATTTTCATAACACAAACCCTTAATGTTTCCCCCATATATCTTAGCAACCCGATGTTGTAGAGCTTTGATATTCAAACTATAAATATCATCGGTTTACACTTTATGGGTGCAAAGATATAAGGATTAGAACGTTGGAGTATGTTTCAAAAACTCAAATCCTTCGTAATTTTTTTTATTAATTTTTCAATTTTTTAATTTATCTAGTTTTCCCTTGTTTGGCCTGAACATGATCATGTGTTGGATCCAAGTACAGAATATAAAATAAAGAACTTTTATACTTCAAGAGGCTTCTGTTTTTTAGATTGTAATTATTTAAATTAAGCAAGTATAGAAATTTGATTTTTGAACAATTTTTTACTTTTCTTTTCTTTTTCCTTGGGTAATTCCAAAGATTTTTCACATTCTTTACTCTCCTAAAATATTAAACAATAAATGATGATATATTTGTTTATAGGTTTAGAAAAAGCAGTCCAGTTGCTATCATAAAAGCTTTATTTGCAATGTAAATTAAATATCTGAATTTTAATCAAAACCATTTTAGAATATTTTATAAAACAATTAACAATTAACCATTGTCCACTACCAGCCATCATTACCAAGTAATTATAGTTAACTATCAGCAATCATTAACAATTAACCATTGTCCACTACCAACCATCATTATCAATTAACTATAGTTAACTATCAGCAATCATTAACAGTTAACTATAGTTAACTATCCGCAATTATTAACAATTAACTGTTGTCCACTACCAGCCATCATTACCAATTAACTATAGTTAACTATCAGCAATCATTAACAATTAACTATAGTTAACTATCAGCAATCATTAACAATTAACTGTTGTCCACTACCAGCCATCATTACCAATTAACTATAGTTAACTATCAGCAATTATTAACAATTTACCATACTCAACTACCATCCATCATTAACAATTAACCATAATCAACTACCAGCCACATTTATAATTAACCATAGTTAACTACCAGCCATCATTAACAATTAACCATTATCAATTACCAATCATCATTAACAATTAACAATAGTCAACTCTCAGCCATCATTAACAATTAACCATAGTCCACTACCAGCCTTCATTAAAAATCTCCCATAATAAACTACCAGACATCATTAACAATTAACCGTATTCAACTACCAACCATCATCAACAATGAACCATAGTCAACCACCAGCAATCAATAGCCCACAATTGTTCATGTACTTTGCTATTTAAATAAGAACATTTGTGAAAATGGCAGTTAATTTCGAGAAGCATCCTCTTTTTGTTTGTAGACGAAATTTCTGTTAATTTTTATAAACTTTTATTTGTTAAAATATCTACCAGCACCAGCCATATTTTACAATCAACTAAAATAAACTAAAATCTGGTTTTTGAAAATTTACTAGCAATATTTTATCATTAATAAACTGTAATGAGTAAACTGAGTAAAATTTAAGATACAAAACCTCACCATACAATTTTACTCCGAAAGCATACTGCATATTTGATGTTTGTACTGTATGAATAGGCCATAATCTCTAAATATACTGTAAACTGGCCTAAGTGTACACTCAGGCTAATATACACCGACAGGTAGCTAAGATCCAGTCACCCTGGGTTAACCACAGATAACAAGACTTTAAAGACGACCTGAAGTACTTTTTCGTTTGACAAGGAAAGAAAAAAGTTTAAGGCTGCATTGCAATTTGCAGGGAACTTTAAACAAAGAGAATAGAATATATATTAAAACGGAATTTACTAGAAAAAGTGTAAAACGGCCATTTTGTTGTACTGTTTCCATACTGCAGGTGTACTTCACATATTTGCACTAAAAAACCGTTTGGGCCCTGGAACATCATTTTATAGAAAATCTAAAATTAATATTTAAAGAAAACCAAATTATGAAATAGGCTGGTTTCATAATTGAACAATGATCATTTCACATAGACTTTAGCTTTACAAATGATGATTTTAAGTTATAACTATAAATCAATTTTTTTTTCCCCTTAATTCATTTTATAAAGTTTATTAAACAGCTTTAACATATTCGAAATTGAAATGGATAGTCTAGGAAACATACTGTATTAATGTACTCTACTGCATATAATTTGTGAACATTTACATGATTTGTACACTTTGAACTCCCTTTCAGGCTGAAAGGGACTGACAAAATTCATACCGAGGGATTATCTAAATTCCACTCTAATACATATTCTATTCTCTTTGACTTTAAATGATAAGAACAATTTTTTGCACTGATGTTGTCTCTTAAGTCTTATTCTTTGCAGTTAAACCTATAACATATATATATTTATATATATATATAATGTGTACCTGATATGCAATAACACCACAGGTTGACCCATAGCTGACAACAACCTCTGCTCCACTATTCCCAACCCTTTTTTCAAACAATCAAGTTTAATTTATTATCCCTGTAGTTATTTAACATCACTAAAAGATGGTTGTGTTACATTTGCACAACGTTACATCCGTCCAACTATACTTCGGACCTACCTGCACGTTTTTTTTCAGCCGCTTCTAGCTTTTAGTTGGTCCGATGAACTGTATATCTGATACACACGCAATTGAAAAAAAGTTAGTGTGTATCCTACCTACTGTAAGTCGATTGCACGCTCCAATTAAGTTGGATGCAGACCTTTTGTAGGCCGGATGCACTCCATTTGTAGGTCAGATGAACAACCTTAGTAGCTCGGATAACCAACGTTATCAGGTCGGGTGCACAACTTTTTTAGGTCAGATGCAAAACTTTTGTAGGTCAGATGCAAATTGTTTGTAGGTAGGATGCACAACTTTTGTAGATCGAATTCACAACTTTTGTAGGTCGGATGCACTTTTTTGTAGGTCGGATGAACACATTGTATAGGTCAGATGTACACATGTATGAAAGATGCACTCGGCCTTGACTTAACCTTACCTAACATCAAAGTGTCCATCCGACCTACAAAATCTGTTCATCCAACCTAAATTGAACTTGTGCATTTGACCTACAAAAAATGTTCATCCCAACTTCAAAACTGCACATCCAACCTACAAAATGTGTGCATCCGACCTCCAAAAGTTGTACATCCGACCTACAAAAAGTCGTGCATCTGACCTACAAAAGTTGTGCATCCGACCTACAAAAGTGTGCATCCGACCTACAAAAAGCGTGCATCCGACCTTCAAAAGTATTTGCAACCGACCTGAATTTAATTATTTGTGTGCAACTGGAACATCAATGCTTCTGAGTTATGCTAGCACTGTCAACTACAGAGTGTCCCACGAAACATGACGGTTAGTGAATGGTTTAAAATGCCATCTTCCATAATTTGCTAAGTTGTTTGATACCGTCCAAAGAGACTATAAAAAATGTATCGGAGTCATAAATTACAGTAAAGTTGATTACAAAGTAATATATATTTGAGTAAAAGATTCTATTGAACAACACAAATTGTCATGTTTCTTGGGACACCCTACATACTAAAAAGATCTGCAGTTCCTGCGTACGTCGGATTAACAAAATAGAATTGACAATTTGACCTATATTGCAGTAGGTCGGAAATATCGTAGGACGGGAGTACTATAGTACGGAAATGCGATAGGTCCAAAGTAACATTACTCTAAAGATGCCATTCATACTTTAAAAACTCAATTTTGAATGTCGTCTTTTTACAAGCCGGAAAATAAACATTGGAGAGCGCCTGCAGCTTCTTTTCACAGGATAAAATAAATGATAAATAATTTGTTTTAAAAACTGATAAATCTAATGTGATTGTTCACAGATTTTTAAAAAGACCTCTGTTTAGAAGTCCTTTGGATCCAATTCTAGTCCTTGCTGGGACATATAATAGACGTTTTTACAATTGGTTGTAGCATTCGCGAATTTCTGATTTAAAAAGAAAGTCCGGCCTTCTTGTCGGATGGTTAATCTCTATAAACCACAGTTAAGTGCAGTATGTTTATATATATATATATATATATATATATATATATATATATATATATATATATATATATATATATATATATATATATATATATATATATAGTAGAAGATATACTGCCAAAGAGAATAGAATATATATTAGAGTGGAATTTAGTTAATCTCTCGGTATGAATTTTGTCAGTCCTTTTCAGCCTGAACGGGAGTTCAAAGTCTACAAATCATGTAAATGTTCACAAATTATATGCAATAGAGCACATTAATACAGTATGCCTATCCATTTCAATTTCGAATTTTTAAAGCTGTTAAATTAACTTTATAAAATGAATTAGATGAATAAAAAACATCATTTGATTAATAGTTATAACGGAAAATCATCGTTTGTAAAGTGAAAGGCATAGAGTCTATGTGAAATGATCATTGGTCAATTATGAAACCAGCCTATTTCATAATTTGGTCTTCCTTTAATATTATTTTTAGATTTTCTAGAAAATGATGTTCCAGGGCCCAAAAGGTTATATACCACAAATATGTGAAGTACACCTGCAGTATGGAAACAGAACAACTAAATGGCCGTTTTTTACTTTCTTTTAGTAAATTCCACTCTAATATATATTTTATTCTCTTTGCAAACTGCGGTAGGTATGAGATTTGCATCGTTTTTGTGAACGAACTAAATTTTAAGAGCAAACCAAATTTTTTTTGAATAATTTGGTTTCGTTAAGAAAAAAACGAACAATGGACCAACGACTTGGATTCTTAAAGCGATTTTAAATCGTTCAAAAGAACTTAAAAAAAACTATCCATCTTTTAGTAAAAAATCTTTTATTTTACTTCATTAACAAATTTTGAAAAAATGTTTTTTTTTACTGAACCAACTTTTTGGAACAATTTTTTAAGAAAAGGGGAAGAAAGTTCCAAACCGTGATTTGAATAGCACTTAGTGTCAGGTTGGAGAAAAAGCACGGTTTAGACCTTTTTCCCCTGACTTATAAATCTTAGGAGATATTTTTGATTTAAAAAATGTAATGAAAAACCTACCAGGCTAAAATAAGGTTTAGAGTAAAAATATAGTTCAGCATATTTCTATGCTCTCCGACTATGCCATTTTTATAAAATCTAAACCATCCTGAAATTAAAAATGCTTGAGCCGTTTTATATTATTTATAAAAAGAAAAACATGATAGGGCATTTTTTCTTTTACATTTTTTGTCTGTGGATGCTTTTAAAGGGACTGTAAAGGAAAAATTAAAGGGGGTATACTGGTCACGTGATTTCCGTCTGTATCACGTGACAACGATACTGCACTTTCATTGGCTGAAGTCTTGGTGACGTAATACGGACTATACGGACTTTATGTAATAATATTATCAATTATATCTATTCAAAATGCAAAATCAAAATTAAAAAATGATAATAGGAGCAAACCTGATATTCTCAGGCTCCTGTGGGATATAATCTTTTTTAGATTGGTTTCGTATTTTTTTAATATGATCTGTTTAATACTACAACTTTTATACAAAATTACATATATATCAATTTCTCGAGACAGGAACATCAGATAGATGTCTTATATGTATCATTCAACGCCTGATTTTCTCAGTTTTCATCCTATACCCCCTTTCATGTTTCCTGTACAGTCCCTTTAAGATGAAAAAAGATGTATTTCTACTTAAGTTAGAAGGTTTTTGAATTATTAACAGCGACCTGATAAGTGATAGGATTCAAAATTAAGAATTCGTACGCGTCTCGCCAGCTGTTAGTCTTGGGTGGGATACGTTTTATAAATGTTTAAAGGTTTAGTTATAACATTAAAGTTTAAAAAGATTCAATTTCCCTGACCTTCTAATAAATGTTTTCAAGTTTCCGAAACTCACTTCACATATTATTAGATAAGTTAGCAACTGTTTAATTTAACAAAATCCTGACACTATGATAATTAAAGCTAAAGACATGGAAATAAAACGCAGAAGTCCTGTTTTTTAAATATTTTTTTAAAAATAGTTTTTGAAAAAAGTTAAGTTTTGATTTTTTGTCCCACCTCCTCTAGATATTTTCAAAAAATTAGTAAAACAATATTGTTGATCTATTTTATTAGTTTAAAATGTTTATTTGGTCAACGACGTTACAATATTAGAATCAAATTACATCTAAAGTATTTTGTGTAAATCCTGAAAAGAACTTGAATTTATGTAAAACAACTAAGTATTTATAAACACTAAGTCTTTGAAATTTCTGATAAGTACATTAAAGTCTGCCCGAAAGTTTATGAGCAAAACTGAATAAAGAAAATGGTGCTATGTAGACTGAACTAAAGGATATCCAAACTAATTATCGAGTACTTATTCTAATCTCATATAATATATAATTAGGTCAGAATAGAGAGTACCGAGAGAATTTAAGCCAATATTTTCGACTTAAAAATAATTACACAATATTTTAAAATCTAACATTTTTTATTTTTATTTTCAAAAGTTCAGCTCCCTACATGTCTGTTATGTGTTTGGTCATAATCTATTTTCATTCTTTTGTTATTTTTGGAAAGTCATAAGTTTGAGAAATGGTCTGGAACTAAATGCATTGTTTGAAAACAGTTTCTTATTTGAAAAAGGTCTGAAATCAGCGCTGATATAATCTGTACAAGAGACACAGCATGCCCCCCAATCTTCACAGATATTTCAGAATTTCTTTGTATCCCAACTTAATATTTCTTTTTACGAATATTTTGAATGAATAAGATAATAAAAGTGATGCCCAATTAAACGTGGAAGTAAAAACATGTAATTTGACATTAAAACTAGATCTGGTCTCCTGTAAATCAAGATTATGAAACCATTTTATAAAACAGATTTAGTTTTTGTTTAAACACATTTTTATTGTTTTTAAGATAGTTTAGAGCAACCTCTCCAACTTTTTATAATTCCAACCTTTTCAATTCTTCTTTTTCTCATCTGCATTTTTCTTCTCCTCTCTCTCATCACCCTCATTATCATATTCCTTATTCTCCTCATTCTCCTTATCCTCTTTCTCCTCATCCTTATTATTCGCATCCTCATTCTCCTCATCCTCATTCTTCTCATTCTCATTCTCCTTATCCTCAGTCTACTCATACTTATCCTTCTCATCCTCATACTTCTCATCCTCATACTTCTCATCCTCATACTTCTCAGCCTCATTCTTGACATCCTCTTTCTCGTCGTCCTTATCCTTTTCATCCTCATTCTCCTCATCCTCATTCTTCTCATTTTCATTCTCCTCATCCTCAGTCTTCACATTCTTCACATCCTCCTTCTCGTCATCCTCATGTTCCTTATCCTAATTCTCCTCATCCTCATTCTTCTCATTCTCATTCTCCTCATCCTCTGTCTACACATTCTTCGCATCCTCCTTCTCCTCATTCTCAGTCTATACATTCTCCACATCCTCATTCTCGTCATCCTAATTATCCTCATCCTCATTCTCCTCATCACTATTTTCCTCATTTTCATTCTCGACTCTTCCATCATTATTCTTCTCATCCTCATTCTCCTCATCCTCATTTTCTTTATCCTCATTCTCATCCTTCTCATTCTCATTCTCATTCTCCTCATTATCAGTCTCCTCATCCTCAATCTACACATTCTTTGCATCCTCCCTCTCGTCATCCTCATGTTCCTTATCCTAATTCTCCTCATCCTCATTCTCCTCATTCTCAGTCTCCTAATCCTCAATCTACACATTCTTTGCATCCTCTCCCTCGTCATCCTCATTTTTTTCATCCTAAAAATCCTCATCCTCATTTTCCTCGTTCTCATTTTCCACATTCTCATTCTCGACTCTTCTATCCTTATACTCCTCATCCTCGGTTTTTAAATTTTACAGGGAATTTAGAGTGTTTAAAACAAAATCTTTGTCTACAAACATTTCAAATTATGAATTAAGATAAAGAGAGCTGATCACGTAATTTAGAGTGGCATGTCTGATTCACAACGGCACTCTTTAAACCTTAATCTAAACAATAATCAGGAATCTGTTTTTCTTTAATCTTTTTGCTTTTTTCTAATCATAAATCCACAAGTATTTTTATGTCGAAACTGCAATTAAAAAAAAGCTCCAAAAAAAGTTCTGAACTTCAATAATACGAGGACAGTCCCTTTATGCGAACTATTAACAGGACTTTAATCTACTTAATCATCCAATTATTTGATACTTTTATATTGTTTCTGGAAAAAGAAAATTATGATTGATAATTTTCAATTAACGAGGAATGCTCAAAAGAGGGTGTAGCATGCAATATAATTAAGTCAACAATTTCAAGTTGAAATCCGACTCCTTTGACATGGTTTTAATTATGCCTGTTTAAAAAGCTGAAACTATCAGATCCACATCTGGAACTAGTTAATTTAATTATAACTTTTGCCACACACAACCCACATACAGGGGCTTACAGATGTTTTATTTATTCATGTTTCTTTATTTACATATCTCGTGTTTCTCATGATTATTAGGTTTTTGTTGATCTTGTTGATCTTGTTGATCTTTTTGATCTTGTTGATCTTATTGATCTTGTTGATCTTGTTGATCTCGTTGATCTTGTTGATCTTGTTGATCTTGTTGATCTTATTGATCTTGTTGATCTTGTTGATCTTGTTGGTCTTGATGATTATGTTGATCTTGTTGATCTTGTTGATCTTGTTGATATTGTAGATCTTGTTGATCTTGTTGATCTTGTTGATCTTGTTGATATTGTTGATCTTGTTGACCTTGTTGATCTTGTTGATCTTGTTGATCTTGTTGATCTTGTTGATCTTGTTGATCTTGTTGATCTTGTTGATCTTGTTGATCTTGTTGATCTTGTTGATCATGTTGATCTTGTGGTTCTTGATGTTCTGTTGATCTTGTTGATCTTGTTGATCTTGTTGATCTAGTTGATCTTGTTGATCTTGTTGATCTTGTTGATTTCACTAACAATTAATGTGCGCTGAAAAAATATATTCTAATTGTAAACAATTGTTTTGATGTTTACTAATTTTGATTTGATCATTATTTCTGTTTCTTCAGTTTTAAATTAGCTTGTAATGGTGAACATGTAACATGCATAAACTGTAAACTAAAATATAATATAATTTAGATCCATGCTTTTTAATGAAAGGGGCATCAAATTAATGAACTATTTTTATATTCGCGTATGACCTCACAAGATTTGAAATGGATTTTTCTTTGGAATTTTATAAAATAAAGAAATCCGTTTTTGACATGTTAAATCTTTCACCAACAGTTGTTTGGAGTTTGTCATCTGATTGAGAAAAAGTTTGAGAAAACAAAATTTTCTTTAAAATTAAAATTTCTCTGGCGAAAATCTTTTTTTCACACCCAATCCTCAAGTCAAATCATCCGTGACCGCAATAGTTATTTTAGCATTTCAAAAAATCCTGCTTCAGTGATTTGTTTTATTTTTGTATTTTCAACATTGTTAGATTTACAGCAAAAACACTGTTATTGGAATTTTTTGTCTCAAATATTAGTTTGTTGCCTTTAACTTGTCAAATTATCAAAGGACTTTTACGACTTCTAAATTTCTGAATTCAGTTTTTAAAGACGGATCTTTTCCTCATATCGAGCGATTTTTTTCATAAATTTCATAAAATCCCGTAATCTGGCAATTATTATATTCAAAATATTATCGATTCTTAGGTTTTTATGATCTTTCTTGGTACTTTAAAACGATCCTAACCACACATCTATTGTGTTGGGAATTACATAATTACATAAAATAGAAAAGCATTGAAATCTGATAAAAAAAAAAAATCGAAAAAATAAGTTTTCTTTTTTTACTGCAAGTAGAGTTTGACATGATTGTTCGACACTATACAATCCTTTATTTGTTATAAATACATAAAAGTTTAAAAGTTCTGGACTTTGGCGTGATTAAATTGTACTCAGTCTTAATTGACATGTTCAGTGTTTAGTTACTGTTTATTAATATCTTTGTTGAGTTCTATAAACTGTACAGTGAGCTTCAAAAAACATTTCTTGTTTGTGTAAAGACTTGTAAATTTTAGTTAAGGAGAAAATATGACGATAAATAATCATATAAACTTAAGAAACTTAAAGAAATTTGATTGCCTCTAATAAACTTAAATTAAACCTTTTTATTTAAGAATTTAATTGATATTTATAATTGAATCAAATATTTAACTTATTCTAAATATGCAAGACAAAATTTGATTAATATTTTCAAATTAAACAAAAAAAAATATTATTGAAAAGAAGTTGGCTTCAATTTCCAAAGACACTACTATAGAACTTTCTGTTCAGATAATGATATAGTACCAACACCAAATAATTCCTTACAAAATTAGATTTCTCTTTAATGTTCTTTTTTATAAGAATTTACAAGATGCATACATTGTTTTGTATTTTTAATTTGTTATTTTATAATGTTTCGAAATTTTATTTGGCATGATATATCTAATCCTATTTAGGAATGCAGATATGTATTCATATTTAATCCCAAAATAGTCTGAAAAAAGAATAGTTTCAAAAGAACAAATGTGAAACAAACTAAATGTAGAAAACATTTTTTTTATCTATTTTTATGTCATTGTAATGGGTATTATGGGTCTGTCCTAGTGAACGATTTTTGGACCCCCTCCCCCNTAGGTTAAGACACTTTCTGGGCCGAGCGCTTCGGCTAGGATAGGATAGGGGGCCGGGCGCTGCGGCCACGGGTTAGGTTACTTAAGACACTTTCTGGGCCGAGCGCTGCGGCCACGGTTTAGGTTAAGATAAGACACTTTCTGTAAGATCCATGTACAAAATTGATAGGAGGGGGGGGGGCTATGTTTGAGATCAAAATGAAAGTAGTGTATTCAATCCAATTCTGAAGATTTATTAAATAATATTATTCCTCTAAACTATTTTCACTGTTTTCAGGATGGTTTAAGGAATATAAAAATGGCGTAGGAAAGTTAGAAAGAAATATGTTGATCCTAATCCTTGTTCTCAACCTATTTTCCGTTTGGTAGGTTTCGTGAATCCTCCAATTTCTATAAAAGTTTTTTTTCGCTAATCAGAACATTGATAAAATAAATAAATCATACAGGGTGAGTAAAAAAAGTGGGATTCGTGTAATCTTATGCAATATCATACTTTTTTTGTTTTGCATATCACATTTAAGATAGACAAGACATTTTTATTTCGATGTTCGAAAGTTGATAAAAAAAATCCGCGAAACCAAAAGTATAGAAAAGCTTAGATGATTCTACCTCTAAAGCACAGACATGAAAAAAATCTCAAAATTGTAATTAATGAATTTGCAATTTTAGTTCTGGCTGAAAAGTTTCAGCAATTAGATTAATAGGATTAGAGCAGTAAAATGTATTTAGAACTTTAAGCAATAATTTTTATCGATTTCAATAAAGTTTTGGAGATATTTTTTTAAAAACATTTTTGTAATTATTCTCTTTTAATTTTGATCTGCGTTTTTTTACAGTGTTTACTGTCTATTTTACACTGTAAATTTAGGTTTTGTTTTTAAATACTGCACTTTATATATTATGCATATATACAGAAATCTTAACAATAATTCGGGTTCTTACCACAAACTTTACCACCCCTATATCTTTTTAATCCAATGTCGTAGACCTTGTAGATATTCAAAGCATGAATACTGTTAGATCAGATAATCAAAGTTTGATATATGAAAGGTTACCATTATCAGGTTGCAAAATTATTGGAATAAGTAAATTTTTATTTATGGAAAGTCTCAATTACTTTAGCTTTTTGTTTGTATTAAACTTCAAGTGCTGAAAAACGTATTTTTTAAGCTAAAAAATCCTTAATTGTTCTTTTATTTATTTTGATGTGAGCAACTGATTTCTTGTTTAATGCTCAGTGAATAAATTTTCTTATCCCTACTTTTACATTGGTATAGGAACAAAGAGAATGGTATATATATTCTATTCTCTTTGTATAGGAAAGAAAAAAAAATACAATTTTCAAGATGTCTTAAATAATGTTTTAAGGTCATATCTAGATAAAGAATATCAATCTATGAATAAACTCGGCAAAGTATATACATAAAGGAGTTGAGTTTTTGCCACAAACTCAAATCTTCTGATCCCAATATCTTTGCAACCTGATTGTGCGAACCTTTGATATTTCAAACTTAGATTATTTTATCTATAAGTATTGATAGTTTGAAATATTTAAGGTCTACAACATTGGGTTACAAAGATATAGAGATTAGAAAATCAGAGTTTGTGGCAAAAACTCAACTCATTAGCCTTCTATTTTAATTGTGAAGATGTTCTCTTCATGTACACCGTAAAACAAAACAAAAAAAGTTCGCAGATTTAAACAAAACATTTCGTGGATTTAAAAAAATTTTAAAAAATTTAATGAAAATCGAATTTTGATGGAGACAAATATTTAAAATTTTGATCATTCATAAACCTTCCCTGGGTCCACTTGAGGTCCCACACAAAATTTGGGCCTGATCGGTTCAGCCGTTTTGACGTTTATTGGATTAAAAAAAACAGACACCCAAGCTAAATTTATATATAGATATGTTCAAAGAATGTTGACTTATACTGATGATCGTAATACGACGTAAAACATTATGTTCAGTGTAATTATTTTTAAAAAATGCGAAGTTTAAAAACAAAAATTTATATATATAAATAGATAGATAGAAAATTGATTTAATTATATAGGGTGGGGGATTGTGAAGCTGAAGTAGTTGTTAGCTATGGGTCGACCTGTGGTGTTATCGAATATCAGGTAAAACCGTGTAAAGGGTAAAACTAAGGTTGATTCTACGTAAAATGGAAATTGCATGAGTTTTTAATCATAAATTATACAACTTTGATTAAATAGATATAGAGAAGAACAAAAATGTATAAGTTTCTAATATTTGGCTCATTAATGTTTTTTTTTCATAATTATACGTAAAATTTGAACTAGAGGGACAACGAGATCACAGAGTCGTACATCGGATGTAGACAAAATTTTACTGATTTGCAGTGAACAGTCAGAATTATTGAATCATTACTGTTCGATTTATAAAAAACTCAATTAGCTGCTTGGGGGCCCAGTTTTGCATGGAAATAAAACTTGCATATAAAAATCAGCCTTTTTAGTTTTGAGGCAAAAGACCGTCATTTGATTTTGGTAATAAATAAGGAATGTTTTTCAGTTCTGTTTTTGTTTAGACATTAAAATTGACGAATTTCATCGTTAAAGTAGAATGGCCCAGGCATTTTTTGAGTTTAGAAGCTGCATATTTTTTCATGATAATCTCAGTAGAACCTCGTAAATGTTTGCAGTTTGGTTAAGAAATTTAGTGGTTTACTTTTGGGAAAATTTCTGGCAAAGCTGGGTTTCTATAATAATGTTTTTACATATACAATATCCAGACTAATATATGCATGGATGGCAGGAAAAAAATTTCCCCAATATTTTAATTGCCATTTGTTCAAAGAATTGTAACTACTGAGGATCGTCATGATGGCGTGAAACATTATGTTTAGTATAATTTTTTTTTAATAAAAAATGTGAAGTTAAAAACTGAAATATATATATATATATATATATACATATTTATAATATAGTATAATTCTTCTTTTTTTAATAAAAATGTGAATTTAAAAACTGAAATATATATATTTATATATATGTATATATATAATATTTCTATATTTTTAGGAGAGCAAAGAATGCGAAAAATCTCTGGAAATACCTAAGGAAAAAAAGAAAAGTAGAAAATTGTTCAAAATAAAATTACTCTGTACTTTTTCAAATCTCAGTGATATTGCAAATAATTGAAAGGCTTCTTGAATTCTAAACATTCTTTTATTTTATATTCTGTGCTGTGTACTTTTACATGAACTTGTTTAGGCCAAACAAGGAAGGGTTGGATACAAAACTAAAATAAGTTAACCTTTATAA